CGATTATTTTCATCATTTCTAATTTTCACCACTTTATTTTATTTCAACCGACAGAGCAAATGAGTGCATGAAAAACAGGTTGCTGCTTGAATGTTCTGTTACAATAATACTGAATAAACATTATAACAATAACAAAAACAAACAAATATTTGCAAGACAGCTTTCAGTCAAGACAGCAGCTTGCCGTGGTGTGCATGAAGTCTTTCCCATCATGAAGACCATCACTGTTGGCTGTTCTTTTCCGGAATGATATGATGGAATATCGAAAGATGGTAAAGTATTAGTATGTATTATAGCACAATTAACAACAACTCAATAAATTCTTTGTTTTCTTTGCAGTGTTAGATTAAGGCAAGCAAGTAGCCCAATGAGCAACTAAACACAGTGCACACATATATTGTATTTGTGTGTATACACATTTTAATCCCTGTCTAAATGCAATTCATCCTGCCTCTCTCATCACTCTCATACAGTGCAGTGTCCACTTGAAAACGAAAATTTGAAGCCTAATCATTAAATTATTACCAGCATTTTGTGTAAGTTCGATTTATGTATAAAGCACATTCAAGCACGGCAAAATATAATTAAACTGAAATAAAAAAGTAGCACACTCACGCGTACTCTATCTGTCATTAATCAGCTGACAAGTAAACAGCAGTACCAGGCGAGCTACCGGAGAGACTAATGTTACGTTTCCTCATTTTCAAATGGAACAAACGCAGGATATTGTAGTGAGTGAGATATGTTGGCGAGTGACGCATAGATCGTGCGACACAACAAACTGATAATAAAATTAATTGCAACACTTTTAAATATCAATTTTGATTGATTTTATCGATTCATTGTTGCAGCTCTAATTATGATAAATCTTGGTTTTAGCTGTGTGTGAGTGCTTGTGATTATATGAGCACAAATGCAACAGTAAAAAAAAAAGGCTGTATCTTCAACATGTTGAGCTACAGAAATACAAACTATCCTGTAGTCATGTGAGAGGTGTGGTTGGAAATAAAATATACTGTATGTTATATATAGGATTTTAAATCAAATCTTGAAAAGACTAAATGATTTGTTAGATATGCAGCCTGTGATCAATCATAAGTGGTCAAAGCAGTTAACTTTTTAGTTATAATTACAATTCAATTATGACGCAAAAAAATACTTTACTACCAGTTTAATATATCGCGTGTTGTCACCAAAACAAAGCCAAAGCTCTCTAAGAAAACAAACAACTTTTTTTTAGATTTTTTAAAAGATTTTTTATCACTAATTGTGTTTGTCAAAAATTAGGATTTTTGAATTGTTCAAATGCATGTGAGGCAGATGTCAATTCTTGCATGATCACATTTATTAATAATAATTATCAATAATAAATCAAATATCATGACTATGATTATTGCTATAATCAAGCTTACCTCATGTTCAATAAGATAAGAGGTAGGAGAACAAAATACAAACAGGGTGTCATTCTGTGGATATTATGTAATAAAGCGGTAACCAGGTGTGTTTTTGTTTCAGTATCATGTTGATGTCATCCAGATCATATTAATAGCTGACTCCTCTGCAGTCATGTAACAGGATTTTAAATTAGTCACAGCAATACTGATACCCCAGGAAAATGCAGGGGAAGTTTTACAGTGTCGGGATTGTTGAAGATTGTATTGGTTTTGGGACAAAGTGGGGGGGACAGAGTCTCTTTTCCTTGTCTTCTACAGACTGTCTGGCTTTATTGGAGATCCTGAAGAGAAGTGGAGAAGATGCAACCTTTGTTTGGTTTTCACTCCATCTCTTCACTTTCTCATTTAATTTGATAATTACCCAAAGCTCTGTTGAAAACTCATAGAAACATATCTCCTAGTGTTCTACGAGGACTATTGAAGGAAACATTTGCCTTGTAGTTCAATAGGTATTTTGAATAATGCAGAATTGGTTCATTGTGAGTTGCTTACAGGTGCTGCCAACTATAGCTGAAAACCTCAACAGTAGCTACTCTGTGATGGAACACCATCCAGCATCCTCCATCTGTAGGCCGCCCATGTCAAAGTTTACATCTTTTTTTGGTCCTAACATTTACCTAGACCTCTGCTTTATAGATTTTGTGGAGGTAGACCAAGATCCTGATGCAGAATCTTTTCTGCAGGTTTTTTTCCTGACAGAAAGAACCGGTACCCACCCAACCACCCACCTACTGGAGGTACTTCAGGTACACTTGTTGTAAGTACGTAGTTGGCTGTTTAATGCCCTTTTCCACAAGTCATTTTAAAACAAAGCTTTGGTCCAGTCTTTCAGCGATCTGCAAATATTTTTGTATTTATTGCTAATGTTCTTTGAAAAGCAGCCAGAGAAACCGGGTATGATAGCAAAGTAAATCTGGAGTATTAATGTAAGAACTTGATGTTGTCTCTGAAGGGGAGAAGTTTGCCTGATCCAGTCACTGTAAATCAGAGGTCACCCAGGGTGATCCTTAAGAGGATTTTAATTAAGCTTCATTAGCTCTACCACACCAGAAATGATTGGGTCAAGTGTCTTTGATGTTCATGGTTAATGATCATGTGGGAAGCACACTTACTTTAAGACTTTTCCTCAAGGGAAGGGGAATATTCATTGGTAAGCTTTCCACAACCTCTGTGAGCGGCTTGAATTTCCCAAATGAAGCTTTAGAAAACATCCAGTAGGTTTCACTCACTTCTAGTGGTAAGCGCTTTTCTCATCATTGCCTTTTAACGGCTTCTACAACTTTGTACAAGATGTCAGAATTTAATGGAACACGTTTGATGTCATGTAAGGGGTTTGGAGCTGGACTTTAATAAGGCCGTTAAGTGGTAATGAGACTGAACATTGCTTCGTAAGGCCATGATGACTGCTTAAACACCGCGGTTGTGAAGGCCCCCTGTTCCCCAAGGGTGGAGATACCCAAATGTTAAATGGATTACACTGCCACTTCTTCTTTGAAATAAATATAATCCTCTTCTGTGGCTGCTAAACGGCCTTGTCTTTCTTTTCTTTTACTCTCTCTTTTATACTCCCTCTTCGATTCTCACCTTTACGTGAATGAAAGCACCTAGAAAAAATTTGTGAGGGCAATCCACTGTGCTAATTTATTTCTAAATCCTTTCTGGGATTTAAAAAGTACCCTGATCATGTCAAGTGTAGCTCTTCCTCTCGTCTCACAAGGGGGCATACAGTGATTAGTGTCCCAGACAAGCTGAATTCAAAGTAGATGTGGATTTGATGGGTTTGGAGACAGTTTGGCCACAAAAAAGCACCAGACCATTGTTGTGAATATTACCATGAGTAGTAAAGTAAGAGTAGGGCCATCCTGTTGCATGAATCACTTGCCGTTCCTTCCCACAACAGTCTGGACTTCGGCCCATTGGGAGCGTGTATTAGTGATCAGAAAATGACTGGGCCAATCAGTGACTGTGTTTCCACTGTCTCCCGGACAACAGGGAAAGGCAGCCCCTGAGTGGTCCATGTGTAGATGGTGACGTCTAACACATGCTGCGTGACTTTTCAAAGCCTCATTCATTCAGAACGCCGTTAATTCTGCAGTTGACTTTGCAAAGTCTGCAGAAATCGTTTAGATCCGACGTCTTCTGTGGATATAAACGATTTTACCTGAAGACCCGAAGACTGCACCTAATCTTAATGATTTTAAAAGCAAACTGAAAACCTAGTTTTTAAGTCTTGCTTTTAACTAAATTTTATATCATTAACTCTATGTGTTTTAGCATTTATCTCTTTATAGTTTTAATAACAGGATCGTCTTTTATTGAGCTATTTTGGTGCTCTTATTTTAGTATCTTTTATTGTTGTTTTTATTTAATTTTATTTATTATTTCTTAAATTTTATTCTTTGTTTCTTTGTTGTTAGATTTTAACATAAACCTCCAGTGTTTCCTTATCTTGAGTTTTAAAATGACGTCTCCTCAGTGCGCACATTCCTGTTTCCACGAAATCAAGCCCTTTTTAATTTTATGCATTTTAATACTGTTTTTGTTGCAATTAGATTGTGGGGTGGGAATGAGGGGTTGGGCTGGGGTTGATTTGGCTATTCTTTTAATCTTTTAATCTAATATTCAATCCAGAGTCTGCTGGGGAATGAAAAATAGAGCCCTAATTGTTAGCTCTGCCCCATGTCATGCTTCATTTTATAAAAACTGAGGGGACTGAGGCATTTATTTTTGTACAATACAGTTTAATACTGCCATAACAATGAGAAATGTTAATGATAACAGATAAGCAAGCAATAATTACTGTCGGTAACAGAATGATTAGATAAGACGTGTTAACATGCTGTTCGATACTGGATACGCTACAATATTATTTGATACCGTACCAGTTACAATATCTGATCCATTGCCTATAATTACCATACTATCATGTTAGAGCAATTTTGCTGATTATATAGAACAATAATGTTGTAATACAATATGTAGAAATATGTACTTGTAACACAAAATGTGCCTGAAAGGTCAAGTGCATGATTTCTGTTATCAGTACTACAGGAAGGAGTTAGTCAGTAGTGATTAGTTGATAGATTTGATGGTAAATCTGTTTTTATGAGCCATAATGTTTTCAATTAAATATTTATACGTTTCCCTAGTGATACAGTATTTTTATTGCAAAAATCAGAATAAGGATTTATTACCATATTGATTGTTTACAGCCCCCAGTGATAAGAAATACTGCTAACTGTCTATTAGGCGTCATCTGGGTTGATGTTAGTCACTCAGCTTAATCCCTCAGCTTTGTTTGGGCTGTTTCTGCTTCTCAGGGAAATCCTGTGTGGTGCACGGTGATAACAGACTATTCAATAAATCTGCTCCTGTTTTAGACTATTCAATAAATCTGCTCCATTTTTACACAGAATAAATTCCAATAGGTCTATTAATGCATAGATGTGTCTGCACTAATTTTTACCTCTGCCAAGGAGGTTATGTTTTCAGTAGCGTTGGTTTGATGGTTGGTTTGTTTGTTTGTCTGTGAACAACTTTACGGAGCAGAGGTGCGTCTCAGCCCCAGGAGGATCCCATTACATTTTGGTGGTGATCTGGATCGCCTTCTGGATCCAGGAATTTTTTGAAGGATTCTTTATCATTGTGAGATAGGGCAAATTTTGGAATTTTTGCATTTAACTCTATAAAAATGGCCAGAGTCTTTAGTAAAAAATTACACAAAAGGATCTCAATGAGTTTTATGAGGTGTCAAAGGTTGATCCTGATCCAGACAAAATTCCGGATACTGTGATCCAGAGCACACAAAAATAAGGGTGTCGTTGGAATTTTCAGTGCTGAAAGATAACCAATGGGCAGCACAGTGGTGTAGTGGTTAGCACTGTCGCCTCACAGCAAGAAGGTCCTTGGTTCAAATCTGGGTCAGGGCATTTCTTGTTTTAGAAACACAAATAAACGTTAATAAAAGACACGTAACAGTAAAAGTTTTGGTGTGAATCACAATATAAGGGGGGACATGAGCTGCTTGGCGGAGGTCTGCGCTCTCCGAGTGCTTTTCTAGTCAGTATTGTAGTCAGTATTCACCATCCCCTGCCTGATAGCTAGCAGACTTTCCAGGTAATTATCCAGCCAACACACTAGCCTTGCTATGTTAACAACATAACTGTAGCATATGAAGCCTAAAAAGCTACCTTTGCATTTTTACTCTATTAGGAATTGCTTGGTAATTGAGTTTAAATGAAAGGTGACTGAAATCCACCCATATATTTTGTCTTGAAACTTGTGTGGGAACTTGGCGGCTCCTCTCCAAAGTAACAAAGCTATCAGCAGTCACACAGAAAAGATAGCTTGATGATTTGATTATTGATTGCTGATGCCAAATCCTATGGTAAGACTTTTTTTTCCAGCTATGCTAAATAAAAGCCAAACATCTTTGGCAGGAAAGTTTACTTGCCATGTGTTACTCACTTGTGCCAAACAATTTTGACGGAGATTTGAGCCTCTTCTCTATAATTAGAGACGCAGAACTCAAATGGTTTAATGTAGACAATTACAATTAACATAATGATCCAATCTGGGTGTTTAGCACTTGAAATGCTGTGTTCTACTAATTAAGTGGTGTAATGATGTTGATGTTGATGTGGATTAAAATACCTCTGCAAAAACACTGAGAAAAATAAATAAAACAGATACACTAAAACACAGAATGGTGTTCTTCAGATGCATGCTAGCTCCTCTGAGTCAAGGGTGAGGGTTTCAGACCCTCGGTGCCTCCATGTTTTTGTTTACTCTGAATGTTCACTCACCTGACACATGAGCTAACCGTTTGCACTGGGGCTGTTTGTCTTTCCTTTCCTTTTTTTTATTTTTTATATCTTACTCCAGTATTATTTTTTCTCCTCTTGCTCCTGATTGATAGCATGCCCTCCAGAGACTGAAAACAAATACAAGAACAACTGTGTATTGCTCTCTCTGTATACCTAGAGGCAAAAACTGCTTTGAGGCCTGACCAAATTATTTTTACTGTTTTAAACAAAAGGCAGCCTGACAAGGAGGCAGGGACAGTTGAGCCAACTGATGTAAAGTATAAAAGCCTGCTATTTCAAAGCATTATAGCACATCAGGAGACCAATAAAGGAGACTGTTATTTTACCTTCTCAACCAAAAAAATATTGACTTGTCTCCATTATCAAGCAACAGCTTCATACTGGTAACCAAAGAGTCACAGGGTGACTCCTTAATATTACCTTTTCTGTAAAACAAGGAGCTCAGTCGGTAGGTTTTATTACGCATGTGACACACTAAATGAAGCCAAATAAACCCATAAGAGGTTGTAGTGAAGGACTGGACAGAGCATGTTTTCACAGTTTATTTTTCAGTCCCTCTTGAGGTCTGATTTAAAGCCTGTTGTTTTTATACCCATAAATACTTGAATCTCTGGAGGCCGACTTGTTTTATAGGCTTGCCGCCTCTGTTTCTGCTCACCAGGGTTTACAGGAGGACACAGTCATATAAACATGGTAATATACCAGCCTTACTCATAAGGATGGGGAAGAAATATCTGAGGCTTTAATTCATTTTATTGCAGTATTTTATCACGAGCAGACAGGGGCAATAATCTGCTGTGTAAATGATTGCAGGGATGTGCAGAGTGGAAAATGAATGAAGTGATAAATAGATTAAGATGAGGCCAAGTGAAATTAGGAGGAATACTCACAACCACCAGCTGCTTTGTTTTGATGTAATAGAATATGTATTAAAATAAGAAAATAAATTTTTATTAGCTTCGCAGAGCATAAAATGGAACACTGCTAAAAGTTACCATAAGAGTGTCTTGTGGCAACTTGTAATATTTCACCGTGTAACGCCAGTCTGGAATGGGATTCATGTTTACAAGGTTTTAAAAACTGAAATGAATTTGATTGAGACCTTTAAAGTTGCACTAAACTGCCATGTTAAATGCGGTGACAGTTTTTAGGAGTCAGCAATCCCTAGAATTTTCATGACTAAGAGGTGTTTTTTAGATCATAAAACCAAATGATATGTTATTTAGCTTACAACAGGAAATGGATATTTTGGTTCTTCTAGAGTAAGGTTGCATGGGGTGCTTTTCAATAGTAAGTGTTTTGCACACAGGGGATGCTGGTCACCTCGACCCTTTCATTGAGGAACAGGCAGCAAAAACTGACATGGAGGCTGGACTATGAACAGTTGTGGAAGAGGTCAAATCTATTTTGTAATTCAGCCAATTTCAAAAAGCTTCAACCAAACACTAAGTGGTCTAAGCTAATGTTGCATTTGGCAGTTCTTAAGTGCCCTACTGTTTTGCCAGGAAGCCAATTAATTATGGCACTATTTGCTGATGCACCACACGTGTGTTCTGCTGCTAAGGTGCCTGCAGTGCACTGGTCAGCTGTTTGGGTCTACCTGCTTCAAAATATGACAAATAAATTAGGATCAACGATTTTGACAGTGGTGATGACTGCTTATTATTGCTTGAAGGGAGATTAATGTAAACAGGGAGACTAAAGCATACAAATTAAAATCTGTGATAAAAAGATTGTGTAGCAAAAAGCACACAAGTAAAGATTGTGGTGATGAACTCTTTATAGCTTTACAAAAATTCACTTTTATACAAAGCTGCTGGAAATAATCACAGAGAGGAATGTAGGTGATTTTGACCAGCTTGTGTGTCGTCAGACTGATTGTTGCTGCTGCAAGAAGACAGTGAAGTGACACCAAATGAAATGTGACAAAGAAATGTATTTCGATTGGAATCTCCTGACTTGCCTCTTTTTCAGTTGTTATAAAACCACACGAGTCAAAAGATGCTCAAACACAATTGTGTAAAATGGCGATATTTGGTTATTTTCTGTTGTTTTTTAAGTGTGTCATCATGGTACAAAAATATTACTTACCCATTTTGACTAAAATATTTACAGAAATTAAAAAAAAAAGCTATTTCAAAATATTTTTTGGATAGTCTCTGCCTTATTGTATTTATTTTTTATTTATTTTTTTGCAGTAGTCAGATATTGAAACCATCAATTTTCTTGTGGTATATTTTTCCGACTTTTCAGGGGTCTATTCAAAGACTCTTGATACTTTTTATCTATCTAAATGATTTGTTTAACATTTTAGGGGTTCTTTCACTGATAATGGTTGATGGTGACACAACTATTTGTCATACAAATTCTAGTTCTGTTGTGATGCTCCAGGTATCAAGTCCTAGATTCTCCGGATCAAAAGCAAAATTTCTTCGGAAATTTTGTATATAAGAATGTGAGTTGGACATTGCACATTGATCAGGTCAGTAAAAAAAAAAAAATCTCTAGGTTTTAAAAGAAGGGTTGGTCATCTTGTTACCCATAACTGCCCCCTTTCTCTCTATAAGAGTCTAATTTATCCATATGGTTCCTGTTGTGATATATATTGGAGTCTTTTCTGCTGCTCCCTTTGAAATTCTGTGGCTCAGAAAAGCTTGAAACCTGATCAGTGTCACTTGTCTTATCTGTTCCTCTCTTCAAAAAGCTTGAGAGCCTTTATGCTTTCATTAATATTTCTCAAATCTATGTTTTTTTATGTAAATGTAAAAGCCTAGCAACTGCAATATGAACTCTCAATGTTTGCTTGCAAAGTTGCATTTTGTGATAGGATTTAGGGGACCAAACTGCATTTAAAAAAAAAAAAAAAATTGCTTGGGAAATGTTACAAAATATGCCTGAAAAAAAAATATGTTATGTAATTGTTCCTATCTTGTACTGTTGTATTGACAGGTGTTTAGGGTTTATTCGGATCCCTTTCAGTATAAAAATCTATTGCTGTGAGGTTAATGGTGATAAAAAAAAAATGGAGCTCACTTAAACACTCATTAGCAGGAATTCTTAATTCCTAGATTTATATTGTTAAACATCAGTTTAACAAACCATTGTGCTTATTATAGACTAAGGGTAAAAATCCAGATTTGTGTATGTCATTTAACAGTATTTAGGTGGAGGCTTTAACTAAACTCTCCGAGCTTTTTGCCTCTTCCTGCTCTTACTATTTAATTTAGTTTGTTTTTTGTTTTTATTACACTTTCTTACATTGCTTACCCTTATTATGAGATAAAGGCATGCAGCCCCTAAGACAGGGTCAGACAGGTTGTGAACCCTCTTGATTTTGGATTATCTTGAGCTCAGCAGGCCAAACAATAAAGCAACACTGTGTCTGCTTTCTCCAGTATTTGGGAGCAGGTTTTTATCCCCTCACTAATACATCTAATTTTTGAGAGAGGCCTTGTTCAACTGAATGTCCCAGAGCTGAAATATAAACACTTAACTTGGCTTGAACAATGGGAATGCTTATTAAACTGCAATACACACCAGACACTATGTTATTCAGCCACTGCTGCATTCTGATAGGACATGGGGAGAAAAAAAAACAAAAACAATATTGCTGTGGTGTTGTTGTTTTTTCCCCCCATAAAGATGGATGAGTGAGCATCTCATCACTCCCGGTTAGGCTGTGAGGAGACACGACTGTCCAATAAACATGTTCCAAGGGTGTGAATTACATCTGTCCTCATTGTAAGTGTCTCATTAAGCCATGCTCTCCTGATTGAGGGATACATGGTAGCAAATTATAACGGGGGGAACTGTTTGATGAAAATGTAGTGCCCAGGACAAAAAGATAAATAATGCTAGCAACTTGAAGGTGAGCACAATCCATCAGTCCCCTGTGGAAATGAATGTTTTTTTTTTTAGACCCAGACAAGAGGAGCAAGACAGCAAAAGAGCAGACAAATCACACACTCACTGGTGGCAAGAAGGATAACTTTAATGTTCAATCACAGTGAAAATGACATAAAGCTCTTAAGTGAGAGTCGCAGACTCTATGTAATAATAAGCCATGTACTGTACAATAGCTGATAGCTAAAAACAAATTAGCTTGGATGCTATTCTGAATGTCAAATACAGTATCAGTCTGAGGAGCGATTCGGACATCCTAAAGAGAGTGGATTCAAGTTGAAATATTTGACACTTTTTTTTTTTTTTTTGTGAAGTTTGTGATAACTAGATTCACACTCAAACGAGCTGTATGCTAAGAGAAATATGTTAGATAACAGTGTGTACAAACTTCTGAAAAGACAGGGGTGTCACACAAAGATGTTGAAGATTCAAATAAAGATCATGTGAAACAGCAAGATAAACATCTTCAGCGGAAAAAGACATGATTGAAGTGCCACTCAAAAGCAAAAGAGGTGACGATGGGGTGTTTTCTCAAAGTGATGCTCTGTTTGCTTGACGTTATTGGTGAAGCCATTTTTAGGAGGGAGCTAACAGCCCCAGACAACAGAGGCATTGCTGGTCAAAAACAACAGAGTGCACTTAAGCCTGTTCAGTCTCTCAGCGGGAGGTGTAAAGGAAGCTGCAGTCTACGGGGCCAAACAACAACACCAGTCATAAAGGTTTGGCCTCATCTCTTCACATGCAAACATTTCTTCTCATCCCATTTTGATACTCTGTTGAATGCTCCATCAAAGAGTTCATTATTCAGAGATAATATCTGACATTGAATAAGCACACAACCCAATTAGCGCAGCAGTTCTGGGATTGTTTGGGGAGACTTTGCTGTTTAATTCTCACTAAAAGGAATGCAAGAGACTACTAGCCAAATAACCTTTTAGATGCCCTGCAGGGAGAATAATGTAGTCAATACCCACTGGCACATTGCTTGTGAATGTGAGATAATTAGTGTTTAGGGGTTTCTTGTGTGTGCTTATTTACATTATGTTCGTTGGAGTGAGAGGTTTGTGATAGGCATTTGTCCTGCCCCCTATAATATAAGCTCATCTGGAGCTACATGAAAATTACAATAATGAGCTGAGTGATGTGAATTTTAATTTGATTCCAGCTGGTGAAGAACCTCACCTGTTAGCGTTTGGTTTAGACAGGGTATTTTTGTTCACTGTGTTTTATGTGCAAATTGGTTCAGATCCAAACCCTCGTCATTGAGCCTATTAGAGAAATCACACTAAGTGGTCTCAAAGAGCTGGTTACTGACTTGATCAATCAAACATGGCAGTGTAAATCTTAAAAGGGGCAGTGCTGGCAGGATTAGTAAGATTCTTATCGTGAAGGAGTGTGCTTAACATTGTGACCGCCTGCCTAATATTGGGTAGATCTACTGATGAGACATGGGCTGCACTTGACCTCTGTGATTTCTGGCACAACATTGTATCAGTAGATCTTTTAAAGGCACTGCGAGGAGTGTAACTGGTTGAGAAACAGACTGATGCCTCTCGATGACTGTTAAAAGTAAACAAGAACATCACTAAGAAAGCTGATACTAACACTGTTGTCACATTTAGTGCTTGAAACCCTGTGGGGTAGGAACAGCAAAAACAAAAACACTCAAGTCTGACTTTTTCTGCTGCAAATAGCTGCAAGTCTGACTAACATACTTGGATAATGGAGATTGATTTTCTTTGTCAGGTATAGAAGGACAGTAATCCAGTTAAATGGCCTAATTGAGCTATAACTATAGATCAACTTAGTGATGCATGTAACTGTTCTATTACCAATATGGCAACCACCACTGATGGGCTTCAAAACTCAACTTCACCAACTCATGGGTGATGTCACTAATGCTAAATACATTTATCACATAGTGAAGTGATTACGTGAATCTGTATGTAAAGAACTGCAATGCACTTTGCGTTAGGACTCCTTTCTTTCAAAGTACAACTTCTTTTTTTTTTTTTTTTTTTTTTTTACAATTTGAGCCTCAACAGCTCTTTTGTTGGATCAGACCACACAGACAAGTGAACTTTGGCTGATCATGGTCCTGCCAAAAGTTCATTGGTTTTTTCCTCCTTTCACCACTTTTGGAGTGTAAGGATGCCTAGCCCATGTTCACACCTTATACTAGAAAAGCACCCGAAGAGCCCAGACCTCCGCCAAGCAGCTCATGTCCCCCCTTATATTGTGATTCACACCAAAACTTTTACTGTTACGTGTCTTTTATTAACATTTATTTGTGTTTAAACTGGTATGTTCACTGTTCATAATGAGGCAACAGTGCTAACCACTACACCACTGTGCCACCTATCTACACCACTGTGCCACCCATTGGTTATCTTTCAGCATTGAAAATTCCAACAACACCCTTATTTTTGTGTGTTCTGGATCACAGTATCCAGAATTTTGTCCAGATCACCACCAAAATGTAATGTGATCCTCCTGGGGCTGAGACGCACCTCTGGTGAAAATTTCAGGTCAATCCGTCTGTAACTTTCTCTGTGGAGTTGCTAACAGACAAACAAACTCACAAACAAACAAACCAACGCTACCGAAAACAAAACCTTGGCGGAGGTAATAAATGGAAGGTCCACACAAATGATCATTTTGACAAGCTTTACTGGTTACAGATCAGGGTTACAGCTTCATCATGTCACAAGTGTAACAAAGCTTAACAAAGTGTAACAGAAGTGTAACAAAGATGTGTCTGAGACCGTTCAAGTATATATAGTCGTCCACATTTCTAAACATACTGCTGACATTTAGTTGACTCTAATAAAAATCCATACGGTAAGAACAAAGGACAACATATTTTAAGGAGCTTTAGGTGAACATATGGAGGGTCCATAGAAGGAAATACCATGACAGAACGTATTTTGGGGACCTGTATGATGTAAAACATGGGTACAAGGTAGATGTTGAGGATGGTTGTCAGAGGCCCCCAGCTCCAGCAATCTAACACTAAAGTATCTGAGGTATTTGAGTGACACAGCTCCACCACTCTTAAGGCTGATATGACTGGCTAAAGAAACTCATCCTAACATGGAGATACTGAGAAGAGCAAACAGGGAAGACCCCACAAGAGCAACAAATGTTGCAACTCTTGCTGCCTGACATATCCAGCTCACTGACAGGAGCCATTGCACAGAGATAACTAATGTTGCTCACTTCACCCTTTAATGATCATGATGTTATGGCCAATTAGTGGGAATATCAAAATCTCACAATACAATTATATGGCGATGATAAATCCATGATATGATAGTAATTTGAGTTTGAATGTGGCTTGATGCTAGGACCCATGGATGAAGGTACTGATGAGCTTTAACGTTTATGATTTGGGGGTTTTAGAAATGCAGAATGGAGTTCTCAACAGCTTGATCTGCATAGATCCATACTGTTTTTGTTCATCAATCACATTTTCCTGTTCACATGACATGGTGATACTGCAATAGTAAGATACTTTGAAACTTCAGCTGTAAATGCAGATACATTTTAACTTTCTGCCTTGAAGAAATGGTTTCATTCAGTGATATTGAGACGCTTTGGTGTCAGGATACTATGTTGTTGACAGTGTCATAATATCTCCACTGATTTGTGTATCTGCTTTTGATATATTTTATAGGTATAATCATATTGTGACAAACTCTAAACACTTTTTTCATTGTCTGACCATCAGTAGGTGGTAATAAGCAGCTGATCTCTTGGCAGCAGATTTCCTATCTTGAAGCACTGTCTTCGCACTGCTTCACACGGCAGTAAAATGGACATAAGGTAATGATATAAATAAGGTCGGATATGAATTTGGTGCACTTGTAAATAATAAGTGTATCTTTGAAAGACAAAATACAAAATAGAATACAGATATGTTTATCTCATTGTCAGAAATGTCAGCGCACAGCTTTGTAGATTTCTGCTGCATGGTTTAGACATGATGTGGTTTATTTTTCTGGTTATATTTCATCCAAGAAAAAGCCTAAAACTCTAAACATTGAGACCTAAATGTAACCGTCGAAGCCATTAAGGGAAATCTGAATAGAGCCCAAAAGGCAAACAGATTTGACTCATTTCATGCTTGAGTTCCAAGCCTCAGCTTCCACTTTTAAAAGTCATGACAGAAATACATATTTGAAAATCATGATGTAAGGTCTCTCAAATCTGTCAGGCACTACTGTAAATCCATTAGCCCTCCCATGGGGGAGAGACATCCACTGACAGCTCCGTCTTCCTCCTCACATTGATAGATGCCACAATTACACATTTAGCGACAAGTCAGATCACATTTGATCAAGCAGTTCTTTGCTGTCAATTTTTCAGGCCCTGTCAGTCATTTGAATTATGTGAAGGGAGCTGGGGTTGAGAGGAAATGCTGCTCACTTTCACCCTATTTTCAATAGATGAGTCATTTTGGTTAAAGCAGTCTGATATTTCCACCAGTGTTTCTCATTTTCTTGTAACCTTTAAAAGGGAACATGGTCTCTACTCTAGTTTCAATGATTTGCACTCCTCACCAGCCTAGGGGAGATGTACAAACAGGGAGGACTAATATCGAGCCTTAGTTCACATTGGTAAATAACATTTCACATTGTTTGCCATTTTGCAGCTTTGATTTGTGATTTTCACTGCTCATATTTCCCCTTTGTTTTCCATTTAGCACATTAAAAGATGGCAGACAGAGCTGATCTCATTCATGTGTTGCCAAAACCCTCTAATTGTTTAATGTGACTCTCTTTCTTACATCATTTGCTGGCAACACCGCAAATGAAAACCTGTTACTATCTCCCACTCAGACCAAATGTCAGCAGTGTATTAATTACCCTCGCGTGACCAAAAGAACACATTTAGTGAAGTCCAGTAAAGTATTCTTGACCCTGTTAACCCTTGCTTAGATAATTTGCTTTCATAGAGCAAACATCTAAATCACTCCAACACTGCTTTAATTTCAGTTTCCTTCTTTACTCTTTTTCCCAGAGGCCTCTCAAAGCTTACTGCATCTTATCAGTGTGACCCATCCAGCAGGGGTCACTGTGGCCCTTGGAGAAGTCCGGCAAATTACATCCTCTGAGCAGCAGTGCTTCCTTTGCTCCCATGCTATAGACACACACCATTAGTGAGTCTCATGTGAACTTGATTGTGAGTCAAAGAGCTAGTTCATTTTGCATGTATTTCTTATATTCCTTAAAATGATTTGACCATGTGAATCAATTACACGGACACTGGCAGCAACAGATACCTTTATGTGAAATGGGAAGGATGGCTGACACAAGGTAACAGCAACTTAATCGATGTTGACTGAAGCATGTGAGCAGTTTGAGGTAATGGCTGAGAGTGTGTGGAATAGCATTTGCATGGTGTGGATGCTCAAGAATGTTTTTTGCTTGAATGACCTATTAGGCCTATGATACGGACCAGAGGTGCACAGATTTAGCCTTTTCAGGCATAATTTTCGCTGACAGGGGAGAGATGTGTCAAGGGCATTTTTTTTTTCTTCTTTTTTTTTTCTTAGCATAGATGTGTGTTGTCAGCATGGCCTCCAAAACTTTAATTCTTTATTCCCAATCACTGACATTTTCTAGACTGAAATTATTATTATATTCTGCTTTACAATCATAGACAAATTTTCAGTTTAGAAACCACAAAATTCCAAATCAGTGGGTTAGTAGGCAGTTTATCATTAATGTTGGCTCAGTCTGAACCCTACAAAACAATACCAACTGAATATCACGTCAAGTCCTGCCCCTGTCTTGGCAACTTGTTCAAAACTAAGGGGGCACTATGGAGGAACATCCTACAAGCTGCTAACAGGCTCTTGTCTTTGTGTGTTTTTTTATGTGCTTTAAGTTGGGAGTACAACTGTGTGTGGACACAAAAAATCTCTCAGAGACTCTCTGAAACATCTTATTCCACAGGAAACATATGGAACCTGGTGAGGAATCTGACTTGCTTCACCAGGTCCCAGGGGGTTCATGCCATCCCAGACAGCTCCCTGAAACTAGTCTTGTCTTACCAAGCGCAAATAAAACAATCTACTTGCTTAATTTGCACATATCTGGATATGAGCAAATTAAGCGTATTTACTTTGCAAGAATATCTGCTTAATACAGCATGATTTGTGTGTTTGTATTGCATCTGCAGAGAGCCCAAACACAGGTGTGATTTGGAAAGAAGCGAGAAAGAGGAGGGGTTCCTACATGTCAGGTCAGACTGTGTACATTGAACATAGCGGAGGTTGACCACCATAGACTGTATATAGAATGGACATCATCTGCCTCCTTGCTGGGTGACGCCATAGCGAGAACAGCACCCTCCGGTGATAGGCTGCAGTATAGGTCATAAATCCCGCCTCCTCCAGCAATCCCTATGAGGCTGTGGACAAACTTTAGAAATTAATTACTCAGAATATAAATTTTTCTCCCTCCTGGTTGTGATGTTGACATGTAGTTATTGTAAGACTGGTTTGTACTCAAGTCCTGTTTTTTTCTGTGCAGCTCCATTTATCATGTTCATGTTTTCTATGATTCACGCTTGATACAGCCTATGGGCGTACAAAGGTTGGGTAGCTCACCCGGGAGATATGCTGTTTGAGCTGAGCGTCATCACAGCAACTCTCCTGCTGAATGCGTACAATGCCACTGCATAAGTGGTGGAGTGCATACAACGCTACTGTGCAATGTTGGTTTCAAGAAGTGGAGAAAAAACCTGGAAATACCGAGACCTTTTTGCCTTCAAATTTGTATACTGGCGGAAGGTGGAACCAAGCTGTCCACAGTTTATACAGTCTATGTTGACCATACTGTGAGGATCTGTTGAGTCTGAACAACATAGTCTGCTTAATTTGCGCTGCGCAATTTGCATCATTCGTGTTGTCTGAGTAGAACGAGTGTCTAATCGAGTCTTGGCATTGACTTTGCATGTAATTCATGTACATGAATGATTTTATTTGCACATGGTGTGAGCGCCCATTTCAAAGTATGCACATGCCCTATTCCTGAGCTTTGACAGCAAAGATTATGAGTAGACAACCGAAATAAATGTTTTGTTTTCGGTAGGGTCTTCCAAATACTCTCTTCATAGTGTCATTTGAATATTAACATGCAACCTTTCCTAGTTGGAAGTGTAACATGTGAGTTCACACAATAGGTCATGTTCATGAATCCATAATACATACTCAACAGCACATTTGTGAAATAAAATATAAAGCTACAGAGCAGATAATATTCAGATGTCTGAGATATGTAGGTTTGTTTTTTGTCAGGTCAGCCTGCCTTGTTCTTCAGTGCTTCTAGCCCTGCAGGCGTAATCTGTGCTTTCAATACCAACTGTGCTGCTACAGATTAGAAGGAGACTTGCTTTGACTCTTATTTAGTTTTATCACTGGGCATTTTTTTCTTGCTTTGGCAGCCTGAAAAGGTTTTATATGTCTGTAGATTGAAGCAACATTAAAGCAAAACCTTCTCATTACTGACACACAGCACAAGAACCTTGGCTGGAATCCTTAACGGCAGCATGAGCCGGTGCTATCAGTGAGTCCTGTCAATGAGAGAAACGAGCACAAGACATAGTGATAGATCCCCACAGAAAGACACAGCGAGGGCAGAAAGAGGGACAGAAGAGAAGGATGGAGGAAGAGATAGACAACATCAAACCACAGAAAATCAATGTGGCCTGTTCTTGTCGTGTTTCCCGGGCATGGGAATGATAAGTTAATTGGCTAACGATCTTCAAACCCAAGCTTCTACCTAATCCCCCAGTGCACTGCTGACCCCCTGTGAGTTAGGCTGAGAGAGTTTCAACTTAAAGCTCTGAGACCAGCAACATATTCAGTTACATGTAGTAACAAGAAGGATGGAGCTAAAACATAATGATAGGAGCTGGTCAGATTGCATATTACCAATGAAGACTGATTTTCACATTTCTGGTGTAAGATGTTTATTAATCAACACATTACTCGCTTTAGAGGCAATGTCAGAAAACTTTCATGAACCAGTTTTTTTGGATTGTATGATTAAACAGTGTTATACTCTGCATTTTTGCCTTTCTGTCTAACACTATATTTGTTCTACAAAGTCTTGTTGTACATTTTGATACTTGCATAAATTTCACTGAGTCAGATGGTTTTCATCAGACCGAGAGACAGTCTCTTGGAGGGATGGTTAAATTTCCAAGACTTCAAATGTAGCAAACAGTTAGATATGAGGGACATCTGATCAAGACTGTTTCCTCGCACTTGTCTGTGATATTTTTTCAACTCTGCCATCTTGATGTGCTAGAATGGAGTATATGTTGACGAATAACACTTACAAGGAGTACCAGCTGCACTTTCAGGCAGATTTCAGTTTATGAACGTTAACAGGAGCTGAATCAATGTTGGATGACCCCCTGTGGATTCCAAAATTGGCCCAAGATTTCCAAAACTCCTTTCCATTAACAAATAAAACCGACCTCCCTCTTCTCAAAAGTTCATACCTTTTTTGAACTAGGAGCACATTCAAATAGACTGCATAAAACGTGGACATGATATCAGTGACATCAGCCAGTAGAGTCTGAAGTTATTATTATTGTTTCAACATGGAGGTCTCCATGCCTAACTTTTAGTGGATCTAGCTCGAGACAAAGGGCTATGATGAACCCACCTGTCAGTCATATCATATGGATGCATATGTGCCCCCTATGGTTAATTATGCCAAGATTTTTTTTCTAAATCCTCATATACAATGTGTATGAATAAGAAAAAAAGATATAGGTGGACCAAAATTTTTGTTTGTTTGTTTTTGATACATGTGTGTTAATAAGGTCTACTTGGCCAATGGAGCCAGCGTCAAGTGGACACTTGAAGAACTGCAGTTGTTGTATAGCATCTCTGCAGTGATTTCATTTTTAGTATCAGAGGTTGCTGTTTGGTATTACCCGAAGCTTAACCCACATAGATATTCCTGGAATACTCCAACACCTGCAAATCCAGAAATGTTTCTTCTCAGTTCTGCTCGACAAAATGTGCAAATGCTTTAATACTTATGCATGTGGCTGCACTGCTAATATGAGAACAAATTGCACCATAACCCATCATCCTCCATTTTTGTGAGCACAGTTGAGCAGGAGAACTCTGCTGACTCCCTCTCTAAGCCTCAGGACGGATCAGATTCTCTGAAGAGGTTGTATGAAGTGCGAAAGCGCAGAATATTTCTCAGCTTAGAGCCTGAGAGATACTGTTGGCTCCAAAGTCATATTTACTACGGGATTTCAACCATCATGCCATGCAATCCCAAGGAAACATACCCTTCATTCACATTTAATTTGAAAGCTGTGTAGATTTCATGGTCCTCGATATCAGGGGAAACAGGGTGAGAAAGTGAGAGAGAGGAAGAAAAAAGCAGAAATAAACAGAGTCACTGCTTGGAGCCGGTGCTTTTATGCAAGTAAAGCTCTCTTTTCAAAGGTGGGTGAGGGGTCAGGAAATGAGGCGGTGGAGGTGGGGGAATTCTTCGATAGATGCTTCCTCGACCTTGCACAGCTTATAAAACCAAATGCCCCCCAGCCCACCAAAGAAACACACCATCGCCAGCAGCAGCCTTTCATCCCTTTGTTGACTTTCTCTATCTCAAACACATCCACACTTGGATCTTACGGCATTGGCAAACAGTTTGTTTATTCAGTCTATTTGGTTTCCAGATGGAGGATTTGTGTCACATATGGCAATAAAAAGAGTTCCAGAAGAGCAGTGAAGTTTATATCGAAGTTAAATTTTGTTTACTTCGCGCTTAAATCCGTCCACTCATAATAAGCCCAACATGCCACCCACACAGTTCTTCACTGTGGGAGGAAATCCTTAAGGGTCACCACCAATCTGAAGATAGACAAGAGGTTTCTACCATTGGGTTGTTAACCCAAATTTAAATGGAAGAGTTAGACTTTGGTGTTTAACAGCAGCAAGGACGTGCTGAGTGGTGTTATTTATTTCCTCATGGTGGATGTCGAAGTAAAAGTGTTGGAGTTTGTATTTTAACATTTGCAGATCATTTTAGTAAACATTAGTGGGAAGTTTAAGTGATATTAGTCCAGCAGAGCATACTTGGCAATGATGGTGGAGGATGGTGTCACTGTCAAAATATAAAATGATGTCACATTTTGTTTTTCTTTTTGACTGAATATACAATCAAATGAAGGTCCCTCAGACATGAAGAAAAGATGCAGCTTCTTTCAAATAAGACATTCAGCATTTTGCTGCCTTGCCATTCTTTCTGATTGAGTGTTTCATTGCCCTGTGCCATCACGTGTTCTCTGTCTGCAGCCTTTTGTCTACCTGAATCCATCCAAAATTAGCCATTTTCAAATTTGGATACCATGCCATTGTCTTGTAGGTCAGTTATTCCCTTGCAAGGTAAACTCTTCTTCCTCTTCTGATTTTTTCATGTGAAACTGACTCTCACCTCTCTGCTGTCACTATGATTTACTGACTAATTCACTCAATAATCAGATTGTCTGGCTATTCATTTACAACATATTACATTAGACATGTGCATGCAATTTCAGCTAACAATTCAGTTTTGGATGCTTTCTCTCAACTCTCTTTCCATTATTATGTCTCAAATTGCTTTTCTGGCTTTGGCTTAGTCCTTTGTTGCCGGTTGCCGGCTACACTGAAAGCCGTTACCCATCCACTCCAAAGACCTCACAGTCTGTGTGACTTCTGACAGACTCTGTGATTGCTAGGGTGTTTATGGTGACCAAATAATAATGATTACTTGTTGAAGTTATCCAAGCAGTGTGTTAGTTTTACTGTTGTAAGTCATAACCCATTTATTTTCACATGATTCAATTCAGCGTGTTATTTTGTCAGTCGAGGTCAGCACAACATAGTTAAGCCACTGCAGTGACTTACTGCGACAACCATGATGAAAATAACAACATCTCCGCACTTTTGAATGGCACACTTCAGTTGTAAACAATCCTTGCAGCTCAGTTTAGTGGCCAAATACAATTTTCACTTTTTGTCAAACAAAGTCAACTGATCAACTAAGTCCTTGAAGTTTGAGTTAATCAGTTATGTTTGTGGGCAAACGCATTAGCAGAGCCCTTGGTCCACAGACCTTTGAATGACACACCCTAAAGTCATCTCTCATCTCCAAAGCCCAGGGGATCAGTATTATCTGGAGACCTTTGATATTTCATAGTAATTGTGGAGGACATCTGTAAATTGGTCAGCCTGGTAGAGCTTTCAGTTATCAGGTCCCTCTCCTCTGGATTCATCTACCCACTGAGGTGCAGGGGGTAGACACCCACTTTACCTTTAAGAATAGGCTCAAGAAAAGCCTCAGTCAGAGCTGGTTCAGGCCTGGGTCAGCTCTTAGCTATTGGTGTAGACCAGGGGTCAGCAACCTCAAGCACTCAGAGAGCCATTTGGACCCGCTTCCCACAGAAAAGATAACACAAGGAGCCAAAAAAAAAACCCCTTAACATCTAAAATGAAGACAACACTGCATACATTGTTTTTTTATTTTTTTATTTTTTATTTTTTTACCTTTATGCAGAGTATTAAAAAAAAGAAAAAAACTGTAGTGTTTTGCATTTATGAAATCAATGAACAGCTGCCGGGAAAACAAAATTTTATTTCTGCAGGCAAACAAATATATTTTAGACCCATTCTCATGAAAATCATATTTTTCTTGTCTACATGATCATATGGCATTTTTCTGATTCAACAGGACATATCATGAGAAAAATAAGTGTGAAATTGCATTTCTGAAAGAATGGCAGACACAAACGGCAGGCTCAGACACAGTGAGATTTCCTACGTCACAAATGCCTTTGGAGCATTGCTGTGCAGGTCAGAAGTAGAGAGAACAATTGCGGAACAGGCATGTGTGTTCGGGGGTTGCAATGCTCGTAAGAAAGCTAGTTATGATATTAACTTTCATCATGTTCCCAAAGACATTACTGTCAGAGAGCTGAGCTTCACCTCCATCTTCACACAGGCTTTCGGTTTTCACAAGTCAGTAGTTATGAGACATATTTTGAGTGACAAAAAAATTTAACACTGTTCATTCAATGTTACAAGAGCATCATAATCATAGAATTTAGAATTACTTTAAAAAAATATCTAAAATAAAATAAATTTAAATTAAACATTTATTATTCGTTTTCCAAATCCACAGGGAGCCACAGCAGAGGGATAAAGGAGCCACATGCGGCTCTGGAGCTGCAGGTTGCCGACCCCTTGTGTAGACTGTCAAGGGTAATGGCATATTGAGCACCTTTCTCTCCTTTTCCATCCGCTATCTGCCTTTGTCATTAACTTTGAATCAAAGTGTTACACTCAGTTATACACAGTCTCTTCTTGGAGTCCCTGTGCTCCATCGTGGATTGCTGCTGCGAATGTTTTGCTGGCATGGACCTGCCTGTATTCCAACTACGTGCATTAATCTCTCCTCCATTTATCTTTCTCTCTCTGATTAAGGTTTCCAACTGTTAAAGGTAGCTTTTCCTCTCCACTAAAACTTGCTAAATGTTGCAAAATGTTGCCTCTGAAGAAATTAATCCAGCCTGAATCACAGTCATTCAGTGTCCTTTTTTTTCTGGTGCAAATTCAGATGGATCATATTAACAGACACTATGAAGATCTATTCCATTAGGAGCCTTTTTATCTTTCAGGATGATTGTGTTTTTAGTGCTAAAAGTAGGTGTTCATTGAGGCAGTGTGGCCTGTACATCACATTTTGCATCACAACAAAAAAATCCTCTCAGTGCTTTGTTCCTTGTTGCCAAGCAACCCCTCAATTACTCACTCAAATACCATATGGATTAATTTGAAAATGGAGGGGTAAAGTCAGAGGTTCAGCTTAATACAAGCTGCTTTATTACACATTTTTTAACACAATACATAAGATTTTACAGCATTCTTTATATATACTCTCAAGTTAAGTTGAATAAACTTTTAATGTCCAAACCAGGCAACATAACTAATGAGCTTTCAACAAATAATAATGGCATGGTAGACCTTCCCGCTAAAGCTTTGTTCTCATAGACTCTTTACAAATACACCTCAGAGCAACAAAGAAGTGCTTTCAACCAGAATCCTTGAGGAAATCATTTCAAAACCAAACTGTGTAATCATTCTTTTTCGTCATGTTGTGGCAGCAGAGCATTTAGAAGAGAGTTAGCATTACTCTTTTTACGTTAAACTACGGTATATATAAATTATGAAAGTCAACAGTCTCTACAACCTCACTATGATGAAAAGGGATGTACAGAAGCCTTAAAAAGAAAGCAAAGTAATAAAAGAAAGTATTCTACCACCCAGAACGTCTGAACACTGGACGAGCCAAGCAAGCGCCAGTTAGCATAGTGGCTTCCAAAGTCAACAAAATACACATCCTATTACAAATACTTTAGGATGGCACTAACTTCTAAGTGGTAGCGAAATAATGTCAGCCACATTTTTTTGATTTTTGACATGTTCCTACATATCATGAGACAGGCTACAGGTAGTGTGCCCCATCTCCTGACTTTGCCAGTCTGTAGATGAGAGCTGCTGACCATGCCACAGCGTCTCACTGGGAAGGCTGAGCCCCCTTTTGTGGAATAAATTGGAACAAAATTTCCAATAAGAAACTACAGAATAACATCATTAAAGCTCCCATTTACAATTATATGTATAAAAATCACACATTATACACAAAATAAATCACAGACACATTCTTGGTTGTCAGAGGACCACCTCACACTGAGAGGGGAGAGTAGGAGAAAACAACAGACATGATCTTTTTTTTTTGTTTTATGTCCATGGGGGCTGACGATCAGATGGCGACAAAGTGTCTTTTATTCATGTTCTGGCTCTGTTGTGAGCTGTTTTTATTGCGCACCCTAAGATAAGCATGATTAATGCTTTCATCTCCTTCTGTCAGTTTATTAGTGCAGTGCAGTCATAAACATTATTTGGATCTATATGTTAATGACTTTAATTTTTTTTTTTTTTAATTTGTGTTATCAGACTTCTGTCTGCTGTTTAGCCATTTTTTATTCATAGATAAACCACAGAAATGTAACAGCAGGAATATCGAGCTTCATAATTTTAAAAAAGTTTGAATTAGATTTACTTTAGTCAGTGATCACCTGCTTCGCTTGACTGCTTATTTGGTGAGTGAGTGAGAGAAAGAGAGCAACCTTTATCACGTCAGTTAAAAATTTCCCATATTTAATGTTGAAATAAAATCATTTTCTCTTTAGAGGTTCCAGTGTAATACATGGCAAACAAAGAATGAGGAATACGAGCTGCAGGGCTTGTCCTCTGTCAACCACGACCAGGATCCATCTTGTTAATGCGGTCCCACACAGCCTTAGCCAATCAGTATAGGCCAATCAGTACATCGAGTCTTTAACAAGTATCCAGAATGTTCTAACATGAGAAGGTACATCAAAGCATTCATTTTTGTCAGGTCTTAAGTATAAGTCCTCTGTCGTTTGTCTCATTACCTTCCTGCCTTGGATTTACCCTCAGTGGGTCGTGCTCTGCTCTTGAAATATGGTGTAATGGAATGACAAACACACCAGATTCCAGATCAAATTAACCCCCAGAGCCAACAAGACTTCATCAAATGTCCTGAGATGTCGGTTTGATCTCGCTGAGCCTCTCTGATCACTGAAGACTCCTTAAAGTTCAGTTTTATTTATTTTGTCTGCTTATTTTTAGCAGGAAATAAAGCACTGATGAGGGATGGGGCATGCAATTCTCTCCAGCACTGCTAGCAGCAAAATAGCTCAACATGATGGATTTATCTAGGCACACCAGTGTATAGGTACTGTATGTGCTCTGTGACTAAAGCCAGCTTGCATGCCATAGACTGTGTGTGTGTGTGTGTGTGTGTGTGTGTGTGTGTGTGTGTGTGTGTGTGTGTGTGTGTGTGTGTGTGTGTGTGTGTGTGTGTGTGTGAATGATTGTAAGCGAGTGTCGGTAGGTATGCCAGCCTCTGCAAAAAGAAAACGCTATCATTTTTCCCCCTCAGGAGGCAGGCATCACATTCCTTTTATGTTAGCTGGAAGTAAACAGGAGCCATAACACTTTACTCTCTTTCACTTAACTAGACAAGACTGTCATTGTGGGATCAGCAGACATGCTTAAATTTAAATAGCTCTAACCTTTGTTCTTTAGGTGTGCATGTGTAAAACAAGTGGGTTTGAGTTTGTAAGTAAGAGGGTGTATTTGTAATACGGAGGCGTATTGCATTCACTTACATCGGACTCATTTTTTTCTTCTTCATGGTTTTGTGACTATTTTTTTCTTCTGTTTTTTGTATTATTATTTTTTCCCCCTCTTTGTGTTTTTCTGGCACACATTTTTACACGCTTTTTCTTTCTCTTTCTGTATTTTGAACTATTTTTTTTTCCCTAAATAGGCAAGGTACTTCAGAATCCTGCGAGAATTTCATACAATCTGATAACATTAACCACCGTGGCTGCTCCAAATCAGTGGATTGTCCAGCTCCTAAATAACTTTGACCACGGGGTTGATAAGACTTAGGCATGTAATTAGTTAAACATAGGGTATGCAAATCCTGTGGGTATGCAAATCCTGTGGTGCCTGCGTAAAGTAGAGAAACTTATGGCGATTCCACCTGTCTGACTCAAAGAAAGGAGTATCTCCTAGTATCTCAAACGCCCCCAAAAGTAAAACTTGATTAAACTAAACAAGTGGGCCATGTTTGCTTCCAGTAAATCGAGCAGAAGGGGAAGAAAGCCTCTGTTTTTAAATTATCAGGATTTCAGAGAATAGGAAAAAAAAATAGTCAGAAAAACAGAAAATTAAAAAAATAATAATAATAATATTTATTTATTTATTTTGTGAATGCAATACACTTTTGTAGTGTAAGCCACAAACTTGTACTACTTATTTTTGTCACCATTTACCTCCTCACTCTGTGCGATGTTCTCAGAATTTATACAACTTTTAATTTCACCTTTAATTTCAGGTTCATACTCATTCAATGATGTATACAGAAGAATGTCAGTAGTTCATAACTTCACTCAATGTTAATATCTGTCTAGAAACAGGCTTGAATAAAAATGTCAGGCTTGAATAAAAATGTCAGTTTTTGAGTACTTCCAAACCTTTCTTCATTGGATTAAGTGCCAAAGATTATTTGTCAAATTATTAGCCTAAAGCTGCCATGAGCAAGGGAGGGAGAGGAGTGATGCTTGGATGACAGAGAAAGGTGGTGAAGAGAGCTCTAATGAAAACACAGCACAAAACCTGGGAAATAAGATGTAATTTTATGGTTGTTTAGCATTGTTACACATTAGAGACACAAAATAACAGACCCATGTTTCTGCACAGACTTACAGGAAGTTCTGTTTGCATGCAGCTGTGCTTCACCCTGCACACAGTGCATTTATGTCTGCACTGCCTCAGCCACATCTGCAGCTCTTTGAGAGCCACTACAGTGCTAACAGCATCATACACTGCTCTGTAAACATTTGTTAAGTTCATTCGATGTCCCTAAAGATGATATGCATCTGTTACAGACAAGAAGCATGAGAGGAACAGCATTTTGGATTTTTGAGCAAAGAACTGTTACACCATTGCACAATGACTGTCTCACACACACACACACACACACACACACACACACACACACACACACACACACACACACACACACACACACACACACACACACACACACACACACACACACACACACACACACAAAATGTCCTAAACACAGTTACATAATGACACAACCAGAAGATAGAGACTCCACCATACACTGGTGGATGGTATTATATTTGAAGACTGAGAGGAGATATTTTAATACAAGGAGATTTTTTTTTTAATTATTATTATTGTAACTCCATTAGCACTGAGTCACATGTTGAATATGTTCACTAACTTTTCTGTGCCAGGACTGTGCGCATGCTGGCATGAAAAACAAACAAGCACATAAACTCTGGGTGCCTACGAGTGTATTTTTTGTTGCTATGGTATCAAAACAGGCAGTGATATTTATGTATTTTCTAAATCATAATGCTCAAGTTAAAAACTCTAATTCTGTGACATTATAATTTCCTGGAAAAGGAAAATATGCAGTGAGGAGAAGAAGATATATTTATATTGGATGTGATGAGGATTTTCTTTTTTTTTCGAAATTTTGTTGTTGGCTTTTAAGGCTGTTTAAGGCACCACTTTGCCTCATTGAACTTCCACATATTTTCTCTCTTGCTAGAGCTGCTTCTAGCAGCTGCTCCTTGGACTTTCACTAAAACTCAGCCTCTGGAGCTGCCACCCTGAACAACTGGGACAGCTAAGCACTTAAATTAAGATTCCATTTCACATTCTGGATATTTATAAAAGTTAGTCTTTTCTCTTTGGCCTTCCCTTTGCAATGAAAGCATTAAAACCATAGACTGTATATACTATGGACAACTTGGTTCCATCTTCCATCATTTGAAGCCAAATTGCTCTCAGTATTTCTGGGATGTTCTCCACTTCCTGGAACCACCACTTGCGCAGTAGCGTTGTATGCATTTGGTGAGAGAGTCGCTGTGATGACGTTCAGCTAAGACAACATATCCCCCAGGTGAGCTATGCAGTCCATAGGCTGTATCGAATGTCAATCATAGAAAACATGAACCCTCTAATAACTTTTAAAAATGGAGCTGCACAGTAAAAAGAGGACTTGAGCACAAACCAGTCTTACAGTTACTACATGTCAACATCACAACCAGGGGGGAGAAAAATGTATATTCTGTGTAATTAATTTCTAAAGTTTGTCCACAGCTCCATAGGGATTGCTGAAGGAGGCGGGGTTTATGACCTATACCACACCAGAGTGTGCTGTTCTCACAGAGGCTTCACCCAGCGAGGAGGCAGCCATTGTCCTTTCTATATACAGTCTACGATTAAACCCTAACAGATTTTACTGTTATTATCGTGTGTATTGCTGTTTCTTGTTGACTGAGTAAAGCTCTTTGGCCAACCTTGGTTGTTTTTAAATGTGCTATAAGGATAAGGTAGACTTGAAATGATTTTTACAGTAACTTTGCAACACATTGTTTGCCATGTAACTTTAAGATCAAAAACTTAAGCATCTCTGCTGTTCTGATGTTATCTTGATCAACTGATTCTTTCTCACTCTGCCCTCCTGTCTCAGCTGCCATGCGGGCTAACCTTGTAGTTGCCAAAAAATGGATACCTTTTTATATCAGCAGAGAGTCACGCACAAAGTAGAGTACTACAAAAATAAGGGTGTCGTTGGAATTTTCAATGCTGAAAGATAACCAATGAAGATACAAGGAAGTGTACGCTTACAAATATTGCATAATAAATCATGCATTTATGTATCTAATATGAGCTTTGTTGTTTCAGGAACATTATGAACAGTGAACATACCAGTTTAAACACAAATAAAAGTTAATAAAAGACACGTAACAGTAAAAGTTTTGGTGTGAATCACAATATAAGGGGGGACATGAGCTGCTTGGCGGAGGTCTGCGCTCTCTGAGTGCTTTTCTAGTTGTTGTTGGACGAAGCTGTGTGTGCATTAGATTGTCAGTAATTAATTTCATTCAAAGTGTATGGAAGAAATTAATTGGATCATTCACATGATTGCACATTAAATTTCTTCTTGTGATGTCCTATGATACATTACACTTGTTTATTCTTTGAAGTGTGTGTGAGGTCTGGGTTTACACACCTGGTTGGAGCACAAGAACAATGATACATCGAGCGTTAATCATGGATTTTATCCACTTGCACGGCATACATTTACTCAGGGGACCTGTGTCTCTTCCCACCGCCCATATAATAATAACTGCTACCTGCCTTAGATAAAGCAAAACATCTGTGAAACAGCAGGGTTACTGAGCACACAACACAGACCACCATTACAAACAGACCACTGCACACTGGGCCCTATCTTATACACCTGGGGGGCCAGATAAGCCTGACAATAAAGCTGAGTAGTGGGGTGGGTGGGGGTGGGGGTTTAGGGATTGCTTAGGAGTTGATCAACCAGTGAAAAAACTCGGCAGGCTTAGGTTGTAAAGGTGGAGGAAGGTGAACGATACAATATAAAAAATTGCAGGGGGTAGACAGAGGGTAAATTAAGAAGAGAAGTTTGATCAGTATTTGTTTTTTGTTTGTGTCATTAGGTGTAATTATCCCTGATGTTTAATTGCTGTGTCTGTCAAGGGTCAATAAGCCCAAGGAGGCAGAGAGGAAAAAGAGACGTTACCGTGAAAAGAGAGCAATGGAACACAGAAGTAATCCTCTACCCTCTTTATCCTCTTACAAACTCCAGGTTTGCACTCCTGCTTCAGGCTTCATGTCACAGCTCTCCTCAATGTTTGTAGAGAACAACAGTTTGGATTCCGTGTCGACTCAAAGCTGCAGCCAAATGTCAATAAGGCCTAAAATAAACAGCTCAAATAAAGAGGTGAAACTGAAACATTATCTTCAAACTGAAGACAGAGATGGTGTGATGAGATTTAGAGCTGTGAAATAATTCACAATTTCAATATTTCTTATACTGCGTGGTACCACCTTCACAATTACCCCACTGCCATAAATAAGAAAACCTTTTAGTTATCTGTTTATCTGTTGGATGGATGTCTCAGTAAAATGACTACATATTATGAAGCTGCACTCAGTTTTTAAAGGAAAAAGAAAGCAAATTATTTTTTCATTATTTTGTATTAACCAAAAACCTGCTGCAAAAACAGGAATAGTGTGTAATGGGTCCTTCAAACCTGAAGTGTTGCCGTGTGAGGGCTCTGGTGGTGTGATTTTTCTTTCGGCATGTCAACAGATTATACTGTTCATGCTGCTGGTGTGAGCAGCATGTCTCTTGTACACCTCTTGTCTGTCCCAAATAACAAGAATTTGGGAAAGTAGAAAGCTTGTTTATTTGCCTCTGAGGGCCGCTAGTGTATTCAGGCAAAAATAGGCCCAATAAAAAGACAGAAAATAAAAAAAAGAAGATAAGTTGAGGGCTTAGTTTCAGCTGTATTGACCTGGAAACTACAGTAAAGCAGGAATGACATTCAAAACAAAAGCCCAATCAGTTTTTTATTTATTTTTTCCTGTGGACAGATTTCACACAGTGCTTTTATTTTGAAAGGTTTATCCAGGACAGCTATATGGTAAAGAGAACTCCACGAGAACCTTTTGCATAAAGACAGTTGTCACAAAAAAAGCTGACAGCAGGTAAATTGTATCACTCATTAAATAATCTCTGCTTTGAAATAAAATAGACGAGTGCTGTTGTCTGCAAAGTGCTAAGGCTGTCAAACCTGAGAAATAAGATGAAGAAGAAGAAGTATGCAGTGCTGAGAGAGTGATTTGGCCCTGGTATTGAAGCGACAAGAAAAGGTTTTGTTGGATGAATGTGGACAAAGTGACATACATACCATGTATCAAAGAAGGTCCTTGAAGATCACCATAAGCAACCATGATGGGGGAGGTGAGCAAGAGTGTGTCTAACCATTAGATATTTTTAAATATACCCCTCCCTACAACGGAGGAGGATTAGGGCCACTGCGAAAAAAAAAAAAAATTGAATCTTTTTTTTTTGTGTAAGTATTATTCTGAAATTAAAGTCAAAATTCTGACTTGACTTTTTTTTCAGTGGTCCTAATCCTCTTCCATATTCTACACACTGTACCTTAGACAAATGTTGAAATTACTGTGGTATGTTTTGTATATTAGCAGTGACTCTTACATGTGAATGGAAATCTTGTATTGCTTTTTCTCTGCTTCATTTTCATATTTGAATGTTTGTACCCCCAAAAAACTCAAGAAATTAAGATATGCTTATGCAACATGCACAGTAGATTTAAGTTATGTTCAATCAAGATGTTGACATAGGCGTTTCACTTGCCCTTGATTTGATTAAATGTATCCAAATTTAATTATCCATTGCTGTCCAGTTTATCCCCACCCTGTACTCTCCTCTTCAAATTACAGTCCTCTTTCATAAATGACACCGTGCCCTAAGAAAGATGGTGTAGTGCTTTTACGAGCTCATTAGGAGAACAATATTGTACTTTGTGCTAACTCATTATGGGAGGAATTTAGAGCTGCAAACACAATGTTTGTACATGTAATCAAGAGTCAGTGATGAGGATGAGATGATGAGCAGATTTTCTGGATAAATGAGCACACGAGAGAATTAGTCCATAATGACGCCTTTTATGGTCATGCAGCAGAAGTGGGAGGAGGTGGGGGTCAAGGAGTAAGGAGGGGGAGAAAACCCATGAAGGACAGACTGTGATTCACTTGGCTGCTTGTAGGTACAGGTGAAGACGTGAGCAATAAAGAAGGCATTTTTGAAAATAACTGCATATTAAACTCTGATGGCTAAACATGCGAGTGCTCTTATTTTAAGGAAAATATCTCAGTCGCAGATATTTTCTGATTCCTGGTGCCGATAAATAATTTGGTGTTATCAGTTTTAATGCACTTGTGCATTCACTTGTGGGTTCAAATTTGAATCAGAATTAACTGAATCTGTCAGAGAAGTTAATTTGGCCTTCACATGCATGCACAGTACTTGATGATTTCATCTCCATGCATGATTCAGAGCTTGCCAAAGCTAAATCCAATCTTCAGCCTCAGTGTGGAGGATTGAAACAGTTAAGGTTGTACAATAAAGTATTTAAGAAAAAAAAAATTGCTGAGACCCACTCTCTGAGTCACATAGAAGCTTAGCTTTAGAGAAATGATGGAATAAAAGAAATCAGTTCGACATGGATATCCCTTTTTGCATCAGCCAAGCATTAGAGATCAAATTTTAAATAAATCTAATAGATTATGTACGTGTTCGTCTGCCATGTAATTTTCTCCAGGCTGTACCTCTATTTCAGAGGTGAGTCAGCCTTCAAATTGTGTCAGTTGTCAATCAACACCAAAGACACAAGTTACCATGGGAACAGTGGTCACACCAATAATTGCCTCAATAGTCTTTTGAAACAGTGAAATATCAGAGTCACATGTTAGGGTTGGCTTGAAATAGAGCCTGTGGACCCTCTGATGTTTCTACCTCATGTTGTGGTTCTGTTTTTTTTTAATTTTTGTGAGAATTTCATAGAGAGGAGAAATTAATCAAAATGAAAATAACAACAAGGCGGTGGGCCTAGGAGAACAAAAAGAAAAAGAGATATGTCTGTTGTATTTTTAGGTTCAGCTCTACGAAATTAAAATCACTGATGTCTTTGACAATCACCCTTTCGTGTCTTTAAAAGCAGCTCTGGACCCTGCCTTACCAAAAGGGGCAGCCCCATTTTAAGTAAAACCCTTGAGAAATAAAAACCCATCAATCAAATCACGTCAGCAGTACCAGTTTCCAGTTTATTCCATCTCCCCTGTTGGATTAAAATTTTTGCATGCCTCTCATATCTCATCAATGATTTAAAATGACCTGATTCACTTGTTCTCTTTCTTTATCTTGGGAGAGAAACGATACACACAGGGAGAAGCAGAGCGTGTGAGACAGTGAATTATGTACAGTAAGTGAGTTGACGCAAACTGCTAAATGAGATGGAGTCTATGAAGGCAGGCACTTCCAACTCAACACATGCACTTCTGAGTAAATTAGAAAAATAACAGTTTTTTTTTTTTTTTTTATCCTCCAGTGTTCACTTGCTTACCTTGGCTCTTCTTCCTCTCTTCCTCACTCACTCACAATCTCTATCTCTTTCTTTCTCTCTCTCTATTCCTGCTGACAAAGAGAGAACTAAAAAGTGCCAACCCTGTTCTCTCTAAGCTTGAACCCTGTGCGCAGGCGGAATATAGAGTTTAGCTTTTATTTTCCGTGTGACTTTTTGTTCAATGAGATTTGAGAAGGTGACTTTTATCCCTCTGGGAAGAAAAAAAAAAAGAGGATGCTCTTATGCTTTCACGCAGACTACAGCAATTGGTTGGGTGAGAAAAATAAAAAGGAGGAGGGAAATAAAATGAAAAGCTACTGCATGGGGACCCATTTGCTTAGTAACTGCTGTCTTTGTATTTGACTCCTGGACTGCTTACCGGGACAAAAAAAGCAGGCAGAGGGTATAATGAAATACAAAGATGTATTATGGGATATAAGTAATGGAGCCATGCACCCAGATATTTCAAGGCTTACTCTCTACGTTTAATTTCCTCTTCAGAGAATGAAATGACCCACTGTATTAACCTTGAAGGGGAGAGGGAAGATGCCTTTCTTTAAGACTAAAAAGAGAGAATAATCATCTCTAGATTGTGCAGTCACAGAGGACAGAGCTTGGTGCTGAACTCAGGGTTACACTTCCTAACAAAAACATCCGGGGACAAGCAGCAAGTTTCTAACATCAAGGTGCAAGTCCGCTGCATAAGTTGCTCTTCCTTCTTGGCTGATCAAAACCCTCACGTCCCGCATGTCTGACAGAAACACCGCATCCATTTCTAATGAGTCCAGTGGGGACATTTTCCTGAGAGGTTGCCTGTGAGGCTGCCCTCAGGGTCAGGGAAAGACGGGTCACAGGGATACTTTAAAATTGTGATTAGCCCCTCGGGTCAAAGAGGGGTTGATCTGTAGTGCACCTTGAGGTCCGGTTCAATAAACTACTCCCAAGTGAGTGTCCTATTCTCCTTCATTTCCCCTTTTCCCTTCCCCACAGCAGCACAGTGCAGTGTTTGTTGATTTTGTTTTGGGGAGACATTTGGTAAACAAAAGAGTTCTTTGACTTTTTGACTTGGTTGTCCTAAAGACTATATAAATCTGTAAAAGTTGTACAAATTTAGTTATCATATACCAACAGTTGAAATTCGGTGGGAGTATTGTATAAACCACTGCATGTGCGTACATATAATAAACCTAAAACTTTTGGGTTCTACCGCCTATTTCACTAAAAAAAAAAAAAAAAAAAAGTCAATTCTCTGCTGGGTTTATCCTTCTATCATGTATCGTACAAGAAATACTGGACTGGAATGCTTGCATTGGTTATATGACACAAACAAGATGCAGCATTCTGCCAAGAAAACTAGTTTGAACATATTGTTCGGATGTGAAGGTCTGGGCAGTCAGTATTCTAAAGATAACAGAAAGCTCTTTCAAAACAAGACTTGGGAAATATAAATCTGGTTCATCCTGGCATGTTGACACAATAAGACATGTCAATTAGACAAACTGCGTGAGCACACAGAGCAAACAATAGAAACATGATTTGTGCTCTGTATCATAAAGATGGCATGCGACTCCTCAGAGTCTCCGAACAAAGTAAATAACATCTGATCTAGCAAGACAACTGACACAGTGGTATATAATCAGCATTTACCAGAATGACTATATTTCAGCCCTTATGCATGTCCATAAAAATCCTAACTCCTTAAATAATATTGATTTCTCCAGAAAAATACAACCTAAAATAGTAAATTCTAATGAAAAAGACAAGAGTCATTAATTTTAGGCTCTTGGCAAACTAACCCCCAGTTTCCGCCACATCCGGAATGGCAGCTAAAAGGCTGTATGCGCTAATAGCAGCTGATGGTTTCCATTCAAGTTAATGGGCTCTGTTTTCGTGCCTCGCCGAAGACGTGCCGCAGGCGCAGCGTAAGTCAGGTCCGCCGCGCCGACATGGCGTTCCCAAGCACAATTTGGTATTTTGGTGAGCGGCGCAGCCTGGCATAAGTATCCCCCCTCCCTAACTCAGCTCCTCCCAGCGGCGTAAGGGAGGGTCACTTCAAGGGAGGAGAGAGGGCGGAGAGTGGATTTAACACAGCCGAGACCTGTATTGACCAATCACATAAGCTCCTCTCATTGCCTTTAAATCCGCCACCGGCGAGGCGTATTCCAATTTTAGTGAAGTAGTCAAAGAGATCAAGAGATGTCTGAAGACAGTTCTGCCACACGATGGCGACAGAAGGCAGCTTCTCAACAAGTGTTGCTGTAAACGCTGCAGAGGGCGTCCTCCACACTCTCTCATATGAGAACAGATGGATTTGGTGTGTGTAATGTTGGACCCATTGGTAAGCACAAAAATGTCACTGCGCCAGCTGATTCTGTCGACACCTCCCCCTGCCACGCCACCACGCCCAGCTTGGCAGACCTCGGTGTGCCTCAGTCCACGAAAATACCAAACTGGCTGTACGCCGGGCTCTGCCAGATGAAAATACAACTGTGCGGGGTCTGCCGCCTCACCAGCGTACACGAAAATAGAGCCCTGAAAGTTGATTTGATGTTATAATGTTTATGTTGACCTAAATGTTAATACAAGGAATAGTTGATAAAACCTTCACCTCCAGTAAAGTTAGTCACATTTAGTATTTAGTGTTTTTACTGCTTAAGTTCACTGCCAAAATGCAGCACTGTGGCAGCGAAAAACATTGACACTGAGATAAAAAGACTGGTTGTGCCTCAGCCATGAATATCCTGCCTTACAAAAGCCAGCTGTTGTTTCTATACTAGACCTTGATAAGCTGTTTGAGGGCAGAAAGAGATGCTTCACATTGAGTTAAATGTGTTTAAAAGATTTCATCATCAATAGGCGAAGGTTGAGGTTGTTAACTTGAGAAAGATCAAAGATACAAACCTTGCTTGTACAGAGCGATCTAAAATAACTTCTGGAGCTTTTGTAGATTTTTGTAGATAATGCATGGACCCTCATGAATTTAAGATGCTTGGACTGAACCCTTTACTGGACTAGGATTGTGGTGACCCTCTCTTTAGCAGGAGGGATGGGAGCGGGAGGGTGAGTGAGCTTCATACGTCCAACAGATCGAAACATTGATTTTAATATAAACTTCTATTCATTTTGAACAAAATTAACAGGTTACCTGAGATAACCTCTTTGTCAACAGAAGAGTTTGGGACAAGGAGGAGAGAAGTTGGACAACTTAATTGTAGAGACGCATTATGGCATAACACTAATCAAGAGGGTCAGCTCTCATCCACTTCAAACGCCTGGGGAAACTGCAGGCCAGCACACTGCAATTGCTGTTGTCAGATATCCTGGGCTCCAGCTGCAGAACAGTCACAAGTCAGTGTGTTATTAGCAGATTTAGCAGGTTTAACAAACAGTTTGCACCATTAAAAGGCGACTGGATGCTGTGTCATTCAAACACAAAACGTATTTTATTCATGATTAAACTTTCCAACAGACTCAGACATCATTAGAACCTAAATGCTGTTCTGTGGGCTTAAAAGAAGGGCTCTAAATATTAATTTATGTGTTGTGTGCTGCTAAAACATAGATTTATTCTGTACAGGACACATAATCGACACTGTGTAGTTATGCTAATAAGTGTGGAATGTTAAATTAACATGAACAATGTTTTATGTACGCGTACTTATCAGTGTATTTGTGTCTGTGGGCATGATGGAGAGCTTGGTGTTGGTCTTCCCTTTTAGCCTGGGCAGGAATCTTCCTGAGGTGTCATAGGCCTGTAAAGGGTAGCAGTGATCATGTCCTCCCATGCCCCATTGATTTTCGCTGTACACTAATTCCTACGGGATCCGTTTGTGAAGTGAATTTCGTGGCGGATTACGGACAGCAGGAATCGCAACACTCACAAGAACCCGCAGATTTATGTGCAATCACGCATTAACAAGTTGTCTTTAGCCACATAGGCTAACCATATAAGCATTAGACTGTGTCCTTCCAGAGAAGAAAATCTACTTCTAGACTTATAACATCTGCATCCCCTCATCCATGGTGTCATCTGGATAAAATGTTGTCTATAAACCTTTTACTTGTTCGTCCCCGCCCACGTTTGCATGGTGTGAAATATGATCCGCCTGAAACACAGAGCGTTTTATTTTGAAAAGAAGCCGGATGTTTTAATTTGTGTCTGTGCCAGATTTCCTTTCCAGCACAGGTTAATCTGGGTTGAATTTATCTGGCATGCTCCGGCTTCTGGAAAAAACAGAACTCTTGCGGTCAGCTGCAAAGTCCTGTGATCCGCAGCGGAATGGAAAGAAGCCGGTGGAAATTAGCACATTAACTTGAATGGTTATGATTAGCTATGATCTGCGGATACGGCCTTTTCATAGCCATTCCAATCTTTGGGTACATTGAAACATACTTTGATGCTTCCAACACTCCTAGCTGAAATCAGTGCAACTACAGAGGGAAAATGGTTCCTCAAGGCCAACCACTTACATGTCAAGAACTACCCTGTTGAAAAAAAGTCTACAATTTAATCAGAACTAAAGGATCTGGAGCTGAAGGATGCCCTCCTCTTTTTTATCTGCTGTGAGGAGGCTGCTCAGCTCCCTGCACTAACAATAACAGAACAGCCACATTACACTACCTAGCAGTATGCTCCATGTTAACAGATGCCTCTGATAGTTTCTTGTCAAGATTATCCGTGCTGCTTGGGGCTGACTTGTGTTTTTTGGAGGATGGTGAGAAGTGAAGTTAACAAATGACAAAACAGGCCGAGCTAATCATGGTTCGGGCCCCCTGATACGGAACTGCACAGACACGTCCTCCAGCTAGTGTGCTATAATGCATCTCTCTGGCTGTTTTCTGTTAACTCTGCTCTTTCAAGGCCATCCATTCTATGGTGCCTGCCTGACGTTGCTGCAGTCTTCCCAGCCTGCTCCCTACCCCCCCAACTACCTTTACAATCCGTCTGCTCAGTTCTGGTGCTCTCTTTTCTGTAGAGCCAGAAGGAGAAATATAGCTGTCTTCTCAACAAAGCCAAAAAAAAAAAAAAATCCACCTTGAGTTGTCTCTGCCATTTCACTGGAGACATTTTCCAGAAAGAAGACATTATCTGTTCCATTGTCCTGTGTTCATGATTCTGTCCTGATTACATACAAGGAGACTCCCGGCACATGCTCCAGCACATCTCAAATGCTGACTGCGACACTTTCCTTTCCACACTGATTCCCTTTTTATTGCTCATTCAACAACCTCCAGCAATGGAGATTGCACTACGTGGCAAGATGGTGTGTATCCTCACCCATTCAGCGGCTGTCAGGACACTTTATCATTCTGATGGTTTGGTCAAGTGAAGACTGGTTGGGCCCTAACTGCTTTCTCTCTGACCTGCAAGCCATACACTCCGTAAGAGATAAAAACGCAGAGGTTTCACAGACAGAGATACTGTATTCTGCTGAAAAGAAAATCATACACTGAGGATAGTGTGAAGCAGGGATGTTTCACCACTATCAATGTCATCCATCATGCTGTACACGGTTTATTTTTTTTACCTTCAAATGTTCAGCTTAAGTCCAGCATCCAGCAGCTACAGCAACCTGTCAAGGAACTTCAAAATCCAGGTCTTTTTTGTTTTGCTTTTTATGAGTGTGTCGTTCAGGATGTACAAACAAACATCAAAGTTAATCCCCTCAGCTCCCAGTTGACTGAAATGTTGTGTTTTCTTTAACTAAGGGAAAGCTTAATATATTGGGACAATGTCTCTGTAGACCTCTGATTACCACACTGGATAGCTCATCTATAACCTTTTATTTCTGTTTATGTTCCACTCTGGCCGTGCCGTGCCATAATCTGAGAGGCACTAAAAGGAAATAAACAGTCCTCTCAAGATACGCCTATTTATACTCGAAATCCCCTTTTTTAGAGTACACACTTTCTTTCCATATCTACAGAAATACTGTGACTATATTAACATATTTTTTGTACCGACTACAGCAGCTTAAAGGCCGTTAACACACCTGTGGTTAAGGGTACAGTGTAAAAAAACATACTAGTTAATGGCTAATATCCTGCATTACATGACAGACTTTGGCTTGCGTAACTTCAAAGTTGCTGCAGTTTGCTCAGTAAAGGTTTTACAAGATTGTACAAGAAAGAGTTCCTACTTCCCTACTAAGGCTCTATTCAAAAATGGTCTTTTCTGGTGAGAGTTAATAGTATGCATTTTAAACATAATTTCATCATACATACACCAAGAAGCTTTTAGTTACTGTATGGGAGGTCATGTCTAATTACCTTCCTCACTAAAGTGTTGTACATTTACATTCCTGAAAGCCACTAAGAAGCTGTTCATGGTGTGTGACACTTTAGCAATGCAGCCAGAATAATGATGCTCCAATAATGTGTGACATGAACCTTTTTGTATACAAAAAAAGATCCATCTATGTATTCCCTGAATAAAAGCATCAGTGCGAGAATTTACGAAGAAGATCAAAGAGCAGTCGGAAAACAAGATGCTGGGGGGAGGTGTGTGTGTGTGCGGCAAGTCTTTGGGGGCACGCAGTGTAATTTAAATGATTTGGCAGAAAGAATGATGTCTCAAAAATTCAAATGGAGATCACAGGCGTGTAAAGATATTTGAATTTTTTAAGTTCAAGGAGGTTTCCGAATTCGTTTGATGTTCTGAGTTTTTTTTACTTTTATTGAGATTCAAACTTTTCTCACCCTTTCATGTTCAAGTGACTTTTGCTCTCAAAAAGAGCCATTTTTAACTGTGTCCTTAAACTGATACTTGAACAGCATACAAAGCTCATGAAATCAATGTGTGATTTACTCTTGTTACATATCCTATATTTCTTTCTTTCACAGAATTAGGCAGTTTGCTGTTAAAGTAATCTCTGGCCATGTCGGTTTAGAACTTTTAAACTCAAAATGGCCCGTCACCTTAAAATCTTAAGATATTATCCTTGAATGCCTTTTCAGTGTTATTAAAAAATAAAAAGTACAATTTTAATCTCTGATAGAAATGCTACTAACCCCCCCCCCCCCCCTATTTATTTATTTATTTATTTTTTTTGCCGGTGAGGCTTAAAAAGCAGTGGTGCTGTGATGAGTTTTAAAGTGGGGTGGCACTGAGAGAGGTAACATACACCCACTTATACCTGGCATTAAGAGATGTTTTCTATGATCAGATTGCAATGGGCTCTATGCACAGCTCCACTATTTCCTGAATTTAAGGCAGCTGCTTTATTTCCTGTCTTACATTTTTGAACAAACTGGTTAATCCAGGTGTGCCCTGGTAGTCACAACGAGCTGCCTTAAGTTCAGTAAGTAGTGGAGCCGTGCATAGAGCCCACTGGGTTGCACTTGACCGCAAACATTTACATCTGGTATATGTGGCCAGTCTGCATATTGCTATCTGAATGTGATGTGTTGGCACCATAGACTGTATATACTATGGACAACTTGGTTCCGCCTCCCGCCTGTAAACGGATTTGAAGCCAAAAAGCTCTCGATATTTCTGGGATTTTTCTTCATTTCCTGAAACCAGAGCTGCGCAGTAGCGATGCGCGCATTCGGCCGCGCAGTCGCCAAGAGTCGCTGTGATGACGCTCGGCTCAAACAGCGTATCCCCCGGGAGAGCTATGCAATCCCTGAACGCCCATAGGCTGTACCTCAAGTTTACCTCAAGAAAACTTGTGTTGTTGGGAGAGGGAGTAGGGGGGGGAAGGGGTCCTTCTCTATTGAAACTGCTCATCTTCAACAAAAAGTAGAATCCAATACAAAGTTTACAAACTACAAAGTACTGGATGACAGTAACAATATTTCTTTTATGGGGTAACTAAGTAAAGTAACGCACTACACTTAAAAATCTGTAACTTAAAGGGATATTCCGGCTAGAATTAACTTAATTTCTTGATCGATATACTTTTGTGATCTAAGGCTGGTAATATTCATGCTATGTAGCCTTGTATTCATGAATGCGTCTGGCTGTGTCATGAGCAAATATCAATATACTTAATAATGCACATGGCGTGATATTGGAGGATACTTTTAGAAGCCATACAAAATTAACTACAGGATGAGTGAGATGTAAACAACTGACACAGCAACAGTGAGGAAGGTTACTTGTATATTAATGCTAAGATCAAGGCAGAAAAAAATGACAGATGAAGCAACATAGGTGGTATTTATGTTTGCACTCGTCTCATCAGCTTCAAAGCTTTGCCTCATTTTAACCCCTGCTGCTGTCAGCTTTGTTAAATCCACTCTGTCTCTACACCGTCTCTGCTGTTTATGTACATACAGCAACCTGTGTCTGCCTCACATTAATGCAATGCAATGAGGTAATTCCTTTCTGTCTCAGCTTAATTTACAGGTTTGTACAACTGCAGTGTGGTGAGAGAGGCACTCCCTCTGCTCTCGCTTCTGACCCAGGGGCATTTTTTGTGAGCTCAGTGGTTCACATGTATGCAGCTTAGAAACTTTGACAGAAAATGAGAGCCTTATGTTGACTCAGACATGACTTGCCGCTGGGTAATTATGCTACATTACATTAGATTTCATCAGGAAATATCAGTGTATAAAGTCTACATGAGAAAGGATGAAAACTTTGTCTGAAGGCTGAATGTCTATTTTAAAAGTTGTTACTACTTTCTCACCCTAACGTCTAAGCAGGGGCTCAAAAGTCTTGGTGTTTCCCCAATTTTTGGCACAAGAGTCCAAAAGCATTTTATATTTAGAACACTATATACTAATTTCAGCATACCAAGGGGCATGACCTACTAAGATCCAAAATAGCAAGCGCTAAATTGCGTGTGCTAACAGGAATTGCATGTGCTCTTAGTGGGCATGTTGCGAGTGAACTACTATCATTTGGTGCAATTGATAGCGGGTGCAAAAGTGGTGTGGACCACCCTCTTTAAACGAGGATTTTGCGTGCGCCATCGGCTGTCACCATGGAGAGTTTGTGAGAGCAGAGTGTTTGAAGCCATGGAGTTGCACATATCGTATTGGGGAACTGCATAAAAGGCAAGGCAAGTTTATTTGTATAGCACAATTCATACACAAGGCAATTCAAAGTGCTTTACAGATGCAAGAAGATAGACTAGTAATCAAAAAAGAGATTAAACGATTTAAAATAAGACAAACAGATACATTTTTTCGTCTGTTTTGTGTTTGACGTTGTTATATATGAAAATCGTCATTTACCAGAAAAACGAAATAAATCACAATCATGGCACTTCTGCATCCTTCTCTCCACAATGACCGCATGTAATGCTGCTCCAGTTTGCACATGACTTTCAAATGTGCTAAATATAGGCGCAGAACAGCGACCGCAATCGGTTTCCGGGTTTGATAAATCACAGTGCGGGTGCTAAATGATTCCATTTGCATCTGCTCCTCCCAGAATTTTGTGCGTTCTGATGATCTACATACATTCTGCATATTCATGAAGGCAAACATGCTAAATCGATTGCGCATGCTGTTTTGCTCATTTGACAGACGCAATCCTCAGTGCACCCAGTTAGTAGATCAGGTTTGCGTGCGCTATCAAGTTCGCACATGTTTTTGCACACGCAAACCTTTAGTAGATTAAGTCTGCACTGCAAAGTATAACTTAATATTACACACCATACCTTTAATCCTACAAACTTTCTACACAGAGAATTAGATCAGCCATTAGGTATGAGCAATTTCTCTGTGCTTTCATCAAAGCTGTTGAAAGGACCCCAAAAAAAAAAGAAAAAAAAAAAATGCGAAAAAAGGAGCGATGCAGACAATACATGCAGTCCTGTTAGTAGTAAAAGCCTAGATTATTACTCTGTGCAAATAACAGCAGGTGCAGCTGTTTCCAATTGTGCAGCTGACTCACTCAGGCTTTCATGCAAATGAAGTCTGCATTGTCTTTTCATCTCGTCCACCAGATGGGAGGATCAAGTTGAAAGGAAAATAAAGTTTTGCAGGTGTATTAAAGTCCAGGCATGCGCAGTAAAATACATGATGGGACCATAAATCAGATCTTTTTTTTCCCCTTTTCTCCTTGTACTTGTTTTATGCATCATCACACTGTCAGCAACAGCACTGTGTGTAATGTCCAAATATAATACCAGTCTAAGATATGGTTGATATAAGAGCTGAAGTGTATCAGGGAATACATTTATACACAGACGTGAAGCAAATATAACCTCTTCTAAACTTCTTAACTTATAGCTGCTGCATTATTATGCTTCCCACCATGACTGATCTTCAGAATATTGTCTTGAAAGATCAATTTATCACTTAGTAAGTAAAATGTTAGAAGAGGTGTAAAATACTCATTTATATTTATACATTTCCTGAAGTGCAAGGTGAAGGTATTGATTTCATGTTTAAATCTGGCTTGCCTGCCCAGAGGTCCAAAACTATGTCTGTTTAATGTCATTTATTACAGGATTAGACACTGTGAATGGGAGGTAAATCCTCTGGAAGCAGCCATAACTCTAATTACCTCCGCCAAGGAGGTTATATTTTCGGTAGCGTTGGTTTGTTTGTTGGTTGGTTTGTTTGTTTGTCTGTTAGCAACTTTACGGAGAAAGTTACAGACGGATTGACCTGAAATTCTCACCAGAGGTGCGTCTCAGCCCCAGGAGGATCCCATTACATTTTGGTGGTGATCCGGATCGCCTTCTGGATCCAGGAATTTTTTGAAGGATTCTTTATCATTGTGAGAGAGGGCAAATTTGGGAATTTTTGCATTTAACTCTATAAAAATGGCCAGAGTCTTTAGTAAAAAATTACACAAAAGGATCTCAATGAGTTTTATGAGGTGTCAAAGGTTGATCCTGATCCAGACAAAATTCCGGATACTGTGATCCAGAACACACAAAAATAAGGGTGTCATTGGAATTTTCAATGCTGAAAGATAACCAATGGGCGGCACAGTGGTGTAGATGGGTGGCACAGTGGTGTAGTAGTTAGCACTGTCGCCTCACAACCAGAAGGTCATGGGTTCGAATCCGGGTCAGGGCATTTCTTGTTTTAGGAACATTATGAACAGTGAACATACCAGTTTAAACACAAATAAACGTTAATAAAAGACACGTAACAGTAAAAGTTTTGGTGTGAATCACAATTTAAGGGGGGACATGACCTGCTTGGCGGAGGTCTGCGCTCTCCGAGTGCTTTTCTAGTTATCTGATTATTTTTTGCTTAAAAACGACTGAAATGACTGATTATCAAACTGCTGCAAAACTTAATTCTAACTGACTGTGAAGGTAATCCTATTCTTGCAATATTTCCAGGATGGCAAAGTCCCTAATTTTACGGGTCAAACAAGTTGCTTATTAAGCAAAACAGAAGACATACAATCAGTGTTGGGGGTAACCATAGACTGTACACTCACCGGCCACTTTATTAGGTACACCATGCTAGTAACGGGTTAGACCCCCTTTTGCCTTCAGAACTGCCTCAATTCTTCGTGGCATAGATTCAACAAGGTGCTGGAAGCATTCCTCAGAGAGCTTGGTCCATATTGACATGATGGCATCACACAGTTGCCGCAGATTTGTCGGCTGCACATCCATGATGCGAATCTCCCGTTCCACCACATCCCAAAGATGCTCTATTGGATTGAGATCTGGTGACTGTGGAGGCCATTTGAGTACAGTGAACTCATTGTCATGTTCAAGAAACCAGTCTGAGATGATTCCAGCTTTATGACATGACGCATTACCCTGCTGAAAGTAGCCATCAGAAGTTGGGTACATTGTGGTCATAAAGGGATGGACATGGTCAGCAACAATACTCAGGTAGGCTGTGGCGTTGCAACGATGCTCAATTGGTACCAAGGTGCCCAAAGAGTGCCAAGAAAATATTCCCCACACCATGACACCACCACCACCAGCCTGAACCGTTGATACAAGGCAGGATGGATCCATGCTTTCATGTTGTTGACGCCAAATTCTGACCCTACCATCCGAATGTCGCAGCAGAAATTGAGACTCATCAGACCAGGCAACGTTTTTCCAATCTTCTATTGTCCAATTTCGATGAGCTTGTGCAAATTGTAGCCTCAGTTTCCTGTTCTTAGCTGAAAGGAGTGGCACCCGGCGTGGTCTTCTGCTGCTGTAGCCCATCTGCCTCAAAGTTCGACGTACTGTGCGTTCAGAGATGCTCTTCTGCCTACCTTGGTTGTAACGGGTGGTTATTTGAGTCACTGTTGCCTTTCTATCAGCTCGAACCAGTCTGGCCATTCTCCTCTGACCTCTGGCATCAACAAGGCATTTCCGCCCACAGAACTGCCACTCACTGGATATTTTTTCTTTTTCGGACCATTCTCTGTAAACCCTAGAGATGGTTGTGCGTGAAAATCCCAGTAGATCAGCAGTTTCTGAAATACTCAGACCAGCCCTTCTGGCACCAACAACCATGCCACGTTCAAAGTCAATCAAATCACCTTTCTTCCCCATACTGATGCTCGGTTTGAACTGCAGGAGATTGTCTTGACCATGTCTACATGCCTAAATGCACTAAGTTGCCGCCATGTGATTGGCTGATTAGAAATTAAGTGTTAACGAGCAGTTGGACAGGTGTACCTAATAAAGTGGCCGGTGAGTGTATATACTATGGACAACTTGCTCCCGCCTTCTGCTAGGATATGGATTTAAAGGCAAAAAGCTCTAAGTATTTCCAGGTTTTTTCTCCACTTCCTGAAACCAACATTGCGCAGTAGTGTTGTACACACTTGGCTGGAGAGTCGCAGAGAGTCGTTGTGATGACGCTCTGCTCAAACAGCGCATCCTCCGGGTGAGCTACGCAATCTTCGTATGCCCATAGGCTGTAATCAAGTGTCAATCATAGAAAACATGAACACCCGCTGCACAGAAAAAAGAGGACTTGAGCACAAACCAGTCTTACAGTAACTACATGTCAACATCACAAGCAGGGGGAGAAAAATCTATATCCTGTGTAACTAATTTCTAAAGTTTGTCCACAGCTTCATAGGGATTGCTGGAGGAGGAGGGATTTATGACCTAGACTGCAGCCTGTCACCAGAGGGTGCTGTTTTTACTGTGGCTTCACCCAGCAAGGAGGCAGACGGCGTTCATTCTATATACAGTTGATGGGGGCAACACACTACAAAGTAAGTGATTACAGTTAGAATAGCACTTTTTGGGGGGAACGAAGTTAAGTAACACACTACACTAACAAATCTGTAACTTAATTACTTTACTATACAATAGGAATGCGCCTTTCTGCGTTACATTAGCTGTGTCTCCCTGTGTGCAAAGTTCTGATCTGTTGAGGTGGTTCATGTTTGTGTGCTACATGTGTGTCTGTGATAATAGGCAGGGGTTTGGTGCTCATAAGGATTAATCTTTAGCTTGTCTCTGTACGCTCTTCTTTCACAGGATTAATTTTTCTTGGGTGTTTTTTTTCTCACTGTGTCGCTATTTCGCAGCCTCCCTGTCGAATGTAAACAAAAAGTTGCCTGCAAAGATGCCACTTTCCGACCCAACATACATTACGCAGTCATGTGGCCTTTGAAAGTCCGATGCAGAGATGGATTTGAGTGACATAGCTGCTACTTACTTTGGCTATATTAGTCAAAAGGACACAAATATTCGTGTGAAATTAAGTCTATGCTCAGGCGACATTTATACAGTAAACAAAATTATGTGGACTATGCTCAGTGATGATTGGGCTATGATGTTTGTCCATGTACCTCTACAGGAAATAAAGAAATGGGGAAGTAAAGTAATAAGCAGTGAAGTTACTTTCCGAATGCAGTATCTTATTACGATTAACTAATTAATGAGTAACTAGTTACTGGTGACAGACTTTTTGTGAGTAACTACGCCAACACTGCATACAATATAGCACAGGTGTAACAGGACCTCAACAGTCAGCTAGAATAATTAAACACACAACGACTGAAATTGGAGAGGCGAAAAATTAACATAAATAGCATTTCTGAAAAACACAGGATGCTCTCTGTCTTCCATGTCTCTTTCTTGATATCTGGTGCAGTTAATAATGATATGTTCACCTGTTTGCATCCCACACATGGAGGAAATCTAGGCCAGCCAAGCCAACCAGTTAAGCAATTGTCTTTTTTCTTGCTTTTTTCTGATATTATCTTGAATAAATAATTAAAGCGATGAACTCTTACTTTCCTTCCCTTGCAACTTGTTTATGTGTAATAAGCAAGCTGTAGACTAGAAGTCTGAGCCTTTTCAGAGGATGCAGATCAAGCCAGCACTTTAATACTCCATCAGTGGCGGCTGCTGGTCTTTCAAGGAGGGGAAGCTAATTTTTTTTCTGGCCTACATCATAAATGTGTTTGTTTATTTATATGTAAATTCTACCCTCTGTTCCTTTTCAACAAAATGATCTGTGACCCTGTTGTGGCAGAGGAGGGTCGCCAAACACAACACTAGTCGTTTTTAACAAAGACAAAGTCGCTAGAGCTCAGTAAAGTCTCTGAATCAGTTTGGAACAACAGAATGAAAAAATTGGAAAATGCTCCAGTGGATGTTTATACTGATTCGCTAATTTAGCTGTCAATCAAAAAGGGATTGCGTCTCAGACGGACCAGCCCATTGACCCATAGACCCCCAGAGATGCTGCGCGTTCTTGGGCGGGACAAACCCAAGCATTTATCCAATGACTGTCCAGTTTCATGTAATGGAAAAACGCACTCTACGGTTCCCCATTGAAGTCAGTAGACACCCAGCATCAGACTGTGTAAAGCACTGTGGCGCTGCAGGAATGAATGAGAAGGAAGTAGTGTCGGTTTTCTGTGATAATTAGCTGATTCTGAACAAAATGCGTTCTGGCGCATAGTTCCTTTTAGAAAGAGTGCCTTTAGTCAAGCCACTTTTTCTGTTCGTGCTTCTCACACCTGGAATTCAATACCAAACACAATACGTGAACTCCCGACTCTGACCTCTTTTACCAAACATCCTAAAGCTTGGCTATTGGAAGAACAACACTGTTGCCACAACCGTGCCTGAACATGTATATTTGTTTAATGCTAGCTAATTGTTGGGGTACCATCCGCAATTTCTACAGAGTACATACATAAACATCACTGCTTTATTATTATTCATTATTACTACTACTCCCTCTCCCCCATTAATATTTTTACTATTTATTATATCTTTATTTACTTTTTAGGCATTAGGACCACATGCAAGGCATGCACTTTATACTCTGAGTATTGTGCATTTAAAATAGCACTTTACATTTACTGTGCAATCGGGCAATCTGCAATATAACTACGCACCTAACACTTTAGCACTTCAGCACTCTGCACTTTAATCAGCCCTTTGACAACTCATTTTAGCATTTAACGCTAGTGAAGTACATATGGTCCCCTGACCCTTGGCCTGTATGTTTCATGATCCACTATCCTTTCATTGTTCTTGCTTTTATTTTTCATTTTCTGTCCTATTGTGTTTTCAAAGACACGTTTTCCCTCTCTGTAATTATTCCCCCTGCTCATACTGGCCATGAAGGCTAACTGTTCTACTTGTTGTTACTGTAGTTTTATTGATTTTATTATCTTATGTTGTCAACATCAACCTGCTGAAGGGATCTAAAGATGGAAATTAGCCGTTGGCTATAATCTTGCATATTAACATGTATATGTTTATTAATATGTGTTGTCCCTGGTTTAAATAAATAAACTAAAACTAAACTATTTAGTCAATGAAATGTACACACAGCAGTACATATTCCACCACTTTTTTTACATTTCAGGGAAAGCTGAGCTTCCCTTGCAGTCTGAGAGCAATCACCACTGTACTACATTTACCTGTTTTTATTTACTCCTGTAGCGTTATCAGGCTGAAGTACTGTACCATTTCTGACCTGGGAATAGTCAGAGATTTAATGTAGTAAAAGTGATCAGGTGGATTTAAAAATCACTACAAAGTATAAGGCAGCCAGTGTAAGTTGGTTGAGACAGGAGTAGTTTGATCATGTGTCTCAGTGTTCATCATTCTTAAGGAAGACTGAACTGGTAAAATCCAAAGAGACCAAAAAACTTGGGCAGTCAACAGCTAGCTGTAGGCTGTGTGATAGAGCTATGATGCCAGCTGTCACTCCCTTTAGGATTAAGAGGTTATTTAATGTGAGGCACAGTCTCATCTCCGCCAGTCGTCTTTGAACTATTATCAAAGACACATAAGGAGAGAACATTTGAGGCTGTTTTTCTTCTACATAACGGGGTTGTGGGTGTTAGCACATACACAGTAATTTGTAGAATAACTTACACCAGGCCTGTGTACTGCATCCAATCAGGACATGCTTTTCTCTCCAAGCTCCATCTGTCGCTGAGGCATGCCACTGTGTGCATGACCCCAGCTATGTGGGTGAGCTTTGGTGAGACTGTTAAGAGTTCTGAGGCCCAAAGCAGGAGAGATAGGAGGAGTTGAAGACCTTGGCACGAGAACCTTTGTGGCTGACGGAGAGGGAAGAGTAACAGATGCTTGGGTAATCTTCATGTAATCTTCAATAACACCCCTTAAATTATACAAATAGTTTACTTTTTAAATACAGCACAAGAGAGAAATATTGAGGAAAAGTACTGCATGATATTTTTATGCAGTGTAGAATAATTTAAGTAAAGTCATGATGCGGCTAATTTGGTTGTGACTTTAGGTCAGAACGCTAGTTTTGTATGTTCATGTTATTGGGTCAGCTACAACTTTGCTTGTGAGGAAGTTTACTGCTTTATAGAAATATGAGAAAAATTATATCATTAACTCATCGTACCAGGCTTCAGTGCATAGAAGTTTTTTGTAAATTCACAGTTCAATAAACATACTTTATTGTGTTTGCATTAGGAAGTTTTGATGTTTTATTTTACCTCCTGGATCTCTATCAGAAGGAAATGGGATGCATAAGAAAGTAACCTCACCGTTTTTGGTTTCTTTACACCATACAGTATTTGCTGTTCCTATAGAGGTTGGAGAATAAATAGCTAAAAGACAGGTAAAATCTCTGCAGCTTGTGTACAACACGGCACAGAGCCAGATCCACTACAACAAATCACCCAACTACTGTAGGAGGTGTACAATACCCAGGAAGAAATAGTCTACGAAGCAAAACCGTCTCCTGCAAGTATGCAAGCTATCTCAGACTACATGTGAAAGCCAAAACCACAGCAAATGAAGAGTTGAAAGTTACACAACTGATCTTACAGCTTCACAGACATATTTTGATCTATTTCCTTGAAAAAATATTCAAACTTTTAATTTAGATTTTTGTTCGATTTTTATTCAATGAAAACATGTTATCATCTGCAGTTGTTCAGCTTTCCCTGAAGGTCCAAAATGTGTCCATAAAGCCAAAGTACATATCAAACTGTGTTGCAGCGCACCCCTAATGTTTGTCTACTGGCAATTCATCTGCAGTCGGCACAAACCCCTGAATGTGCTCGCCAGGTTTACATGCCCACAGGAAGACTTTGAGAAGCTGCGCCACAGAGTTAATGCTGAATCAACAACAGCTAAAGTATAACTTCAGGCCTCCTGAATTGCTAATCATGAAGTCGTAACAAGACCTCAGTTTGATCTTTGAGAGCCTTAAAGGAGCCCACAGCGTCCCCTGGTGCGTTCATTTCTATTAAACCACATCTCTATGTTCTCCATTTGCACTGAAGTCAAGGAGAAGTCACAGAGGGGGTTTAGACCATCACCCACGTCTCCTTTGATCTAAATTTCCCTATTTGGTAGTTTCAGCACTGTGTGTGCCAAAGTGCATTGTGTACCAAATATGCTGTGTTTCTTGGAAAAATAACAGTGACACCAAAAGTCTGCAGTAGGGAGAGGTTAAAAAGCAATCAAGTCTTTATGACTTTGATTTGATTTGACCACAGGAGAACAACGACTTCTATCCTTATGATAACCTCATTAAGTAAGGCTGACTTTTATGTCTGTCAACGTAATTATACAGCACAATGCCTTTCTTTTCATGTCAGTCTTTATTTAAAGTAGAATTATGCATGTGCAATTAAGGAAAAACTTCTAAGAGTTAAAATTTTTATTCCAAATTAGTTAGAGTCCCACAGCCCCCCAACACAGCTGCTGTGACCCAATACTATCATGTACACAGAATTATTTTTCAGGCTTTTTGTACTGTCCCATGTGGCCATATAATTCATGCATTTGCCCAAAAAGATAATGAATCAATTTACCATTGAAAGAAATCCAGAATTTTTTAAGTGAGATTAACAGTAAAGTTAGTTATTTAGACTTTTTTTCAAGCGTTGAGGCTCAAAACGCAATATTCAGCACACTGCTCAGTTTTAAGATGGAACTGTGTTTAATGTACTATATTGCTGTTGAAATATGGCGTTCATGCGGCCTATTTAACAGACTATTAGTCATATAAGTGAAATTAGGCTCCTGAGCTTGCATTCTCACAAAAGCTACCATTCATCTGGTGTTCAGCCTACTCTTTATCATATCTCATAGGTCGCTGACCTCACTTTGCTTTAAGCAAAAACAAACTTTCTCTGCAAAGATATACGAGCCCAGACCCAGTCTGTGCTCTAAGGTGAAGAGCACAATGTGTCTTTGCAGAAGGCTATTTTGAGATCACTTTGCTCTTGTAAATGTTCAGTTGCCTGCTGCTGTATTTTGTCTGTGAGATTTATTCCTGAGCTTTGGCTTGTGTGTGTGTGAACAATCAATAGGAACATAACCTGTTTAAAGCAGGTTGGCGGGGTCACACTGGAGGGCTACTGACACCGAGTACCAGTTTTTTACTCACAAAGGAAAAAAGAGACACATGAAAGACAATTCAAAATGTAAATTCCTCACTTTTGACACTGAGCTTCGAGAAAAATACTATATCACGAATCGATACACAGGTTGAGTGGATTTTTTGTTTGCTTTAATCCCTGGTGAACTTGAAGACAGCGGTTTAGGTCAGGGTTCATCTGAATATAATTCAACATGTAAATCAGTGTTTTACAAAGGAAAGAAAATAAACATCACATGTATTTAGGACAGCACTAAGCCTGTTGTTGTTGTTGTTTTCCTTTTCAAGGTCAGACTCCTTTTCTTTTTTTCCTTCATTGTGTGCTGCAAGGAATCTGTATGAACCACAGAGCTGACCCTCTGCCACTCACCTGCCTCCCTCCCGTTAGTAGAGCTACTGCTGAGGCCTCCAGACAAGGTCAGACATCTTTTTATTTTCATTATTATGTCTGTATCTCTTAAGTACGAAAGAGGATAAGGGCAACAAGGAGAAAAAAAAATACAGAAGGAAGATTTTTTTATTTCCATTTTAATATTAAAGTTGAACTTTTGAGATTAAAGTTGAATTTTTAAAAGTTGAAATGAAAGTAATCCAAATTTCTAGATTAAGGTCAAAACCTGAGATTTAAAAAATCGAAATTATGTGAATAAAGTTGAAATTTCAGGATTTTAATCACACAATTACAACATTATTCATGATATTTCTTTATCTCGAAATCTCAACTGTAATCTCGAAATTTCAAATTTTAATCTTGAAATTTCGACCTTAATCTCCTTCCTGTCATTTTTTTTCTACTTTTCATGTGGCCCTGATTCTCTTTAGTACTTATGTGAACAGATACACTGATTTTGTCTTTTGTTAAATTATACTCCATGTTTTGAGCAGATGCACAGGCTATTCTGGCTGACCACACTCACCTCCTAAATGCAGAGTACAAGCTGCTTCCATCTGGTTACACGTACACTCCGCTTAGGTGTAGTTGTGTCACAGCAGATTTGAACTTGCTTGATTAACGTGCACTGAAACCCCTGAGAGTTTTGTGTTTACTTGCTTAATTTGTGCTAATGACTCACTTTCTATGCACAATGTTTGCATGCCATATCCCGTCTACGGGAGTGTCCCAACACATGAACTATTGCAAGAGATGCCTTTTCAGCCTCTTTACATTGGGCATAGTTGAGGTTGACTACATTGCAAGGATTTGTTATGTTTAAGGATTATACAGTTTGACTGTACAATTACAGTCTAAGAATTAATCACAGTCTCACAATGATTATGCATAGATCAATTTCATAACAGTACTAATGAACAAAAAGTCTGTCTCTCCATTTGGAATTTTTTTTATTTATTTTTTTATTTTAACAAAAATAACACAACATGACATAAACCACCAATAGACAGAACAGTGATAATCACAAAAACAGACAAACGAAGCTAATTAAAAACAATTAACACAAGCACACACCAAAAACATCATTACAACATAAAATATACAGTGCATCAGCAAATTAATTAATAAATGCTTCCCACCTTTCCAAATACTGTCCAACATCCCCTTTCATATGAGCAGTATACCCCTCAAAAAAATGGACGTTTAATAAACATCTTAAATTGCTTGATATTCAAAGAATTTGCACTGTCAGCTTCAAAAATAAATCTCTTTCCCAACAAAATAATTAAATTAATAATATAACTTCTTGTTTCTGTAACATCTCCAAGCATAACAGAAAATAAGTCACATGTAAAACACATCTTCATAGCAATACACATTCTTTGAACCTCCCAAAGACTGACTGTAATTACCAATCATCCTCATTCCCTTTGATTAAAGGTATGTGTCCTATTAATACTGTGGGTCATAAGAGCTCCAGGAAATTGGTGAACACACTGGACAAAAATAGGCTGTTCCTCCACAATTATTTCTCTTAAGTGGCATTAGCTGGACAGCACACAAGGTGTCCAAGAGAAATTGAGAGAGAGGGAGGAGATGTGCCAGACTTAACCAGAATTACCGACCTAATAATAAAGTATGAGCTATAACAGAGCAATGTAACTTGAAAAATGGACTCATATAGAATTACTGAATTCAGGTAAAGAACCTTATTATGAGTCTGAACTGGACTCTTAGCCGGAATGTAGCATATTTAGAGAAAAATAGCTCTGTTGATTATTTAATAAAAAAATATAACAAATACAATTGATAATAAATATAACAAAAAAAAAAATACTGGTAGCTTTGTCTTATTTTTCTTTTTGCTACTGTTCATTGTAATGGATGGATAATTATTTTATGTATTTTTATTAATAATCTCTGTTCTTAGTCTGTTTCTTAATTCCCTCCAATGAACTTTTTACTTCTTTTACCCCTTTTACATGGTAAAGAGCTCTTACTTATTTTTTTTTTCATTTTATATCATCTTCTTGCCTTAGTCCGTCAGGTTTTACTCTTTCTTTTTACCATTTTTATCTTTTTATCTCCAGTGTTTCCCTACACTAAGCTCTGTCCTCATGCATAGTCTCGGTGTCAAGCCATATCTTTTAAACAATATGCACCTGTGTGTGTGTGTGTCTTTGTGTGTGCGTGTAGGTCTATGGGTGTGTGTGTAGGTGGGTGGGAGGGTTTAATTGTTGTTTTTAGCCTTTGTGAGGCACTTTGAATTACATTCTTGTACGAAAAGTGCCATATAAATAAAGTTGAATTTGAATTTGAAAACATGTCAACAAAAGCTGAAAGTTTTATCAAACGAAAGGAAACAGAGCGCATGATTTCTGTGTAGTAAATATGTGAGTATGGCAGATCAGAGAGGTCACATGATTCAGCAAACATTAATCCCATGTTGTTTGCTCTGAATCCCTAAAAAATAATGCTTTGTTGATTGGTGTAAAATTCCAGTAAAAATGGTAAAAATTTACAGTAAAAGGTCTGAAATATCAAAACTGCAATTAATGTTGAAATGTGAATATTATGTGTTTTCTCTAAAATTGTGTAATTCAGTTTGTGTGTGTGTGTGTGTGTGTGTGTGTGTGTGTGTGTGTGTGTGTGTGTGTGTGTGTGTGTGTGTGTGTGTTGTAAATTTTTCTAAATAGTATTTTTGATCGTTTTTCACTTTTTGTATATATTCTTGCACTGCACCTTGGAAGGCCGGCTGTGAATAAATACCACCATCAATGCATTTTTGGACCATGCCTGTGTTTTTCCACTGTATTGTGATTGTTCTGAGTGAGAACCCTGCGACAGTTCAATATTTTTGTGTTCCTGTAACGTCAAAGATTGTCAGCAGTAAATAATATAGCAAGTTTAGAGCACCAATGAGTTTGCCCTTCTTGTACTGAATATACCAAGTATCAATTTTTCAAATTGATTGTTAAGATGAAGTCAAAGCTATGATAATGGAAAAATAAAATCAACTGTTTGTCCAGTGAGGTTGGCAAATGTGACATCATAGAGCAGGAGAAAGTTAGTACAACAATACGGCAGCAGGAAAGACATTAGGAATACAAGCAGGGCACAAACCAGATGGACCTGCAAGATGTGCTACATGAAAATAAAATATTGTGTAAATAAGACAAACATAAAGAAAAGACAGATGCTAAATAAGCTAAACAGTTGAAAAAATGTATAGATCACAATATATTGTATCGCAATACTCACTGTATTGTAAAATGTTGAAAATCCCAATAATATCTTATGGCCCAAGTAGCGTGATAATATCCTATCGTGGGGCCACTACTGACTTCCACCCCTAGAATATACAGTATTCTAGTTCAGTTTTGTCAACATGAAGTGTCAGGCTGTTACAAAAATACTCAAATGCACAATCACAGAAAAAGTAAGATTTTTTTTAATTAAGCAATATATTTTACAATGTGCTTTCTGAATCTAATAGGTCACTTACAGGGAAAAAAAAAAAAAAAACTCATCTGATCCGGAGAAAGCATTGAGTGCAGTGTGATGTGTGACCACTGTACTGGGGGAAAAATGGTAAAAGCTCTCGTAGTGTAGAGAATCTTGCCAGCAGAGTTTGGAGCGTTCTAAAAGTGCATTATATCCACAGGAAGAGGCCCTGCTTAGACATGAAATTGACTCCTGCTGTTTGCAACTTCTTTCACTCAGCTGGAGTCCTTCAATCTAAAGAGCCTGGGGTTTCCAGAGCCCTCTCCCTCGTTCTAGTGATAAAAGTGGGTTGTAAACAAACAGCAGCGCTGCCCCGAGAATACTGACGCCAGCAAAAATGCTGAATTTCTTCATAAAAGCAACTATTTGCATCACAGTCTCAAGTTAATACATCAGGATAGCATACAACCCATTTTTTTTTTATTTCATAACTGAACAACACACTTCATCAACAGCTGAGGTCTGTATGTCTCATAATTTGTCTAAAGCTATTAGCATTTAGCCAAATTTACTCTCCAAATGCCTCGGCTGCTGATGAAAACGCACAATCAAAAATCACAGTGATCACTTTGATATTATAAGTGCTTGTGTTTCTGCATGGTTTAATGAATTATTCATCATGAAGCTTTGCTTTTGATTCAGATTAGCATCAATAAGTGAAAGTGCAAAGATGGTCATTTTGCCAGTATACCTTTTAGTAACCATGTAAACAAATAACTGCACAGATTTATTTCACAAACACTTTCTATGAGAAATAACTTACTGAAAAACCTATTAAGAGAGGATGCACTTTAGGAGCCCACGGTGCCATTACAGAAATTAATGTGAGAAAATGATTCACTAAAACGAGCATTTACCCTCGAGTACAACAGGCTGTTAAAAGAGAAATATAGCGGCTGTTTCTCAGAACTGAGCTTAAGATGGTTTTCAGCCTTTGCCAGATAGATGCAACATACGTGGTGTTACTTATTCCAATGGATTTATGCATCTCTTTGTTTTGATGAAAGTCTTTGCATTGTCATCTCAAAGTGGTCATGATTTGTTCTTATGGTTAAAAAAAAAGTTTTTCTTTAGTCTCAACATAACCGCTTAACTCATTCAGACGTTGTCAAGCTGCAGAGAAGGACAGCACTTTTTCACTGGTCTGTCAAGTGCATGTTGCTTTTAACATGTAGCTTAAAAATAGGGTTTTAAGCACATCACTATTCATGATTCTACCAAAGAAACAATTTTGTCGGAGCATTTTCAACTGTCATTGTTTTCATTTTGCATTTTTGCAAGCAGATCTCACTAATTCAATTTATCAGTTTGTTTACCCTAAAAAAGGCATCACAATCCAACATCAAGTACAGGCGTAACTGCAACACCCACTGACATCTAAGGGTTACACTAAATACATGACATTTCAACAGTTTTATTGCTGAGTTAAGCTGCACTTTTTCGAGTTTTGCTTTGTGCATTTATTTATATTGATTTTTGAAAGCTCAGCTGCTTCTTCTTTTTTGTCATCAAAAGGCACAATAAGTCTGTCACTGTCAGCTAAGGATACAAAACTCTGACTAGAAAAGTAAAGATGTGGATGTAGGAATGAAGAAGATTCATTGATGCAGCTGTTGTGTGACAACTCCGGATATATAATGAGAAAATATACAGGGTTGCTTTTGTGCTTTGGTGTGTGTGTTTGAAGGTGAAAGTACAACTACAAATAAAACTCACCTGTCCATTTCATTACAGACACTGAATAACTCTTTCTCCCTGGAAACATAATTCAGAGGATAAGTACTTTCATGCACTGGCTTAAATGCAGTGCTTTAACTGAAAATAAACAGATGAAAATCTGTTTGAGGACTGTTGGTCAACCACCCATCAAATGCACTGACCTGCTTGTAGAACCACTCTGCTACAAAGCTGATAGAAACATCTTTAAAAACTTAAGCATTGAAATTAAGAAAGAGAGATTTTCAATAATTATTTATACACAAATAATCAAATAAATAAAAAGAAATAGCTGTATTGCAGCAAACAAAACAACAGCATTTAACAGTTTTAAGTTGTTTTATTTACTGACCACCATCAAGAACAAAAACTGCAACAGCAAAGTAAATCGAATACAAAAAGAGAAGAAGGGAAAAAAAAAAAAACATCTCACAGTTGGGAGCCAGCTCCCATTGTTCACATTAAAGAGATGGCTTTTTGAACTTGTTCCTTCACAACTGACACATCACTATTCATCGAAAGAACTGTGAGTTACCAGCTCAGATTTTGTTCCTGTTGTTCTGTTTGTTTTGCTTCATAGTTCTTGTATTTTTCTGATAATTCATGCAACTGTATATGAAACATCAGCCACATGGTTGAACAAAGTCATGTCGTCACAGTCCTTTATATCAGCATGCTAATTATTCCGCCTTCCCATGGGAGAAAAAAAACCCACTTAGGATTTACTTTGTTTCACAACTGTGAGTCATTATTATTTTGGCATTCAAGGTTTTAGTTAAACCTTAAATGCAGTTAGTCATAAAGCACATGCCATTTTCATGGAGTAATTAGGATGCATAATGTATTATGTTGAATACACACCCAGTGGTCTCTTAATGTCTCACCATGTTGAATTTAAAAGAAAAAATTGACATGAACTTTCCTCAGCGTGTATAGGGAGCATTATGTGCCTGTAACAGACATTGACTGGAGCTGTTAGGCAGAAGCAGCTGTGTTTTATAATGCAGTTTGCATTCTCTGTTCCCCATTAAACCCATTCCTCGGGACAGACTCGAACTTGTGACCCCTCTATTAGCCTTCATGCACCCGCCCTGGTGATTAGAGGAACATTAGGAAATTAAAGGCAAATTGCATTACCAGAGAAACAGACGGAGGTGCTGCTGAGGACCCAACATGCACAGAACCTGCTGATGCTCAGACTTTCCATCCCTTTCATCGGCCAATGTGTGGTGCTTAATGTCACCCTGCAGGTAGCAATTTCTCAGGTGGTACATTCTGATAAAGGAAAAGACAGAGTGAGTGTTTTAATCTCAAAGCTGGGTTATGTGTTAGGGAAGACTGTAAAGTTATTTTAGCCCTCAAAGTACTCAGGCATATTAATAAGATGCAAATCACTTCACAACATGCAGAAACTGTGTTAACACATACTCAGGGGTTCTGAGGAAATATGTCCCTCATCTGTAACTATTTTGAGCAGATAAAATGTGATGATGCAGCCAGAGAAAAAGATAAATTGATCCCCAGCAGAATTTATGTTTCTCTCAGTGGGGCAGTATGCTGTAAGCACTTCACCAACACACTGCTGTATATGTAGCACTGTGTGTCAGCAGCACTAGTGGCAAAAAAGAGAAATGTTGCAATCACCAGACATTTGGTGGCCAAACCTTCATGGTTTTCAGTGAAAAAAAAAGTGGGCTTCATCCTATATACCAGTGCAAGCAATATCCTAGCATGAAATGCAGGGATGTATTTGATCAAAATAGTGTTTGAATTAAGCTTAAGCCTCAACACAGACGAATGCAGTAACTAATGCTAGCACAGCCACCATCACAGCTCACTGCACTTAACCTGATGGGACTGAAAATTTGAATGGAAGAGGCCTTTGCAGCTGTGGTGGTGCTACTTTTTGACAGCTTTTCTCCTTAATTAGGTTGTAATTATGCATTTCAAGAAAACAGAGGAATAAAATTGCAGAGAACACCCGGTGGAGTGCTTGAAAAAAATCCTTATCAGTGCAGTCAAATGACGAGTGGGGGAGGGTAGCAGGTCAGCGTAAACTGGTTTGCAGGCAGTGCATCACAGCTAAGGTTATGAAATCACAGACTAAAGAAATGAAGGTTACGAAGACGTGCTGCAGAAAAAATAACTTCCTGTGCCATGGGTGCCTTGAGCTACTCAGACCAGTATTCTTTATTATTGTGAGATAGGGCAAATTTTGGAATTTTTGCATTTAACTCTATAAAAATGGCCAGAGTCTTTAGTAAAAAATGACACAAAAGGATCTTAATGAGTTTTATGAGGTGTCAAAGGTTGATCCTGATCCAGACAAAATTCCAGATACTGTGATCCAGAACACACAAAAATAAGGGTGTCGTTGGAATTTTCAATGCTGAAAGATAACCAATGGGTGGCACAGTGGCGTAGATGGGTGGCACAGTGGTGTAGTGGTTAGCACTGTCGCCTCACAGCAAGAAGGTCCTGGGTTCGAATCCGGGTCAGGGCATTTCTGTGTGGGGTTTGCATGTTCTTTCAGTGTCTGCGTGGGTTTACTCCGGGTACTTCGGTTTCCTCCCACATCCCAAAAACATGCCTAAGTGGGTTAGGTTAATTGACCACTTCCAAATTGCCCATAGGTGTGAATGTGAGCGTGGATGGTTGTTTGTCTCTATATGTCAGAACTGGCAACTTGTCCAGGGCGTCCCCTGCCTTCGCACGAAGATGCTGGGATAGGCTCCAGCCCCCCTGCGACCCCGGCAACGGGAATAGGTGGTAGAAAATGAAAATGGAAAGATAACTAATGAAGATACAAGGAAGTGTATGCTTACAAATATTGCATAATAAGTCATGCATTTATGTATCTAATATGAGCTTTGTTGTTTTAGGAACAGTGAACATACCAGTTTAAACACAAATAAAAGTTAATAAAAGACACGTAACAGTAAAAGTTTTGGTGTGAATCACAATATAAGGGGGGACATGAGCTGCTTGGCGGAGGTCTGCGCTCTCCGAGTGCTTTTCTAGTTAACCTATGTGTTTATTTTCCCTCTAAATTTGTCTTTATTTATGTTTGGCTCCGTGTCATTGTTGTTGCTGGTGCTTCTGCAGCAAGCCCCAAGTAGACAATTGTGGCACTGCAAGTTTTAGCACTTTCACTCAAGATCTATCTATCTATCTATCTATCTATCTATCTATCTATCTATCTATATATATATATATATATATATATATATATATATATATATATAATACCGGAAAGATTTACAGAGTATGAATATAGTTTGCTTTGCTGACCACATGCAGTAGACTACTGTATATAAATGACACCATATGATATGCATAAACATGTTGAGGTGCATTTACTGCTCTTGAATATTTGTGAAACACATTACAGTGTCCCTAAGATAGTCCTATTGCTCCAGTGTTGAATTTAAGTTAATAAGGAAAAATAAGTGCAACGTAAATCATAGAGACGACTTTATACATGGTAAATAGTCTCCAATCTATTTGGACTTAAATTCTAAGAGCCAGACTAGATTTTAACTACTGTCATAAATTTGAAAGTGAAATCACCTACAGTTTTAGCATGCATAATTTATTCCCATTTTTTCCCCTGATTGTCCATTCTCCTTCTGGGATAGCTTATGAGACCTGTTAATATTTTAAATGTTGCCCTAGTAGAGATAGGGCTCATTGCTCATCTCAGGATTGCATAGGCTGGCAATGAAAAGTTCACCTCAAGCTTCTGAGAGTCTGTATTATGTGTTCATATTGAATGAGAGGATGCTTTTTCCCAATGATTTACCAATGGCAACGTTTATTTCATCCAAACAAACCACTCTATCCATTCTACAGCAAATTTCTCTGCTTGACTGTGCTCTTCAAAAATGCAGTGAATGCTTAGTTTCTTCCTCAGACTCACAGGGAACAGAATGTGTAGTTCTGTGCTTTTATATTCCACAGAAACTAATAAATATGTATTTTCTGTGCTCTTGCTCTTGGCCGATGCTTACTGCCTGGAGATATGGGAGTTGTGCGGCTGCTTTGACAGTGTGACAGGTTTAGAGCTGGAGGATTGTCAGATGTCTTACTTGCCAAATATTGTCCTCGGTGTCTACTCCCAGATTTCCCCTGAGCGCACATCTTTACAAAAACAAGGGTCACACAGGAGTACCACCAAGATGATATCCATACACAAATGCAAGGTAATTACCTAACCATAGATGTTCTTATATCTATTCATAAATGTAATTTAACTTGAAGCTTAACTGCAAGAGAGCAAGAGATAACCATGGCAACCACCAGGCTCCTTTTTCATAAAGACTAGACATTTTCTTTTTACTGAGTTGTTGCAACTAAAATATGGTCAAATTCTAATTTCCTTTGTACTGAAGCTCAATTCTGAACACACACACACACACACACACACAAATACATCTATATTTTATATACAGACAAATCTTTTAAGATCCTTTAACGTATTGTCACAGTATTTTCATCCATCTCTCTGTCTGTCTGTCCTTCCATCTTCATCCATCTATCCAGTTTTCCTCTGCTTATCTGAGGCTGTGACTGTATTAATCCTGTTCCAGTTGAGTTAAAAAAAAAGAAATAATGCATCGATTTGTAAAGGTCATGTAACATGATGTGATGTGTTTCAATAAACAGATTTATTTAAAAAAAACAGATTCCAAAGACGTTTGCTTGCTGTTAATAAAATAAAATAAAAAAACTTAGAGACAACTATGCTAAGTTGTAATCACAAACTTTAAGTATCACCTACCCAGGTTCAGATGTTCAATCATTAATTGTAATCATTAATGTAGAAGAAACGCTTCAAAGTTTTTTTTTTGCTATTTTCAAGAAGAAAATACTTCTAACTTAAATTCCCACCCAATAAATAAATAAATAAATTACGAAAAAAAAAAAAAAATCAGATTTTAGATTAGGTTGAAATTTAGTAAAATTGATTCAGTATTTGTCACTCCCAAAATTACATGGATTTGGTTTGGTGATAATAAGCTCTGCTTTATGGCTGATGAGAGTAAACTCAAGAGCACCATGTTGTGGATTTACAACTGCAAGGTCAGAGTCATTAAAAGAGAATAAATAAATAAATACAAAAAAATATGTATTGTATTGCATTACATGTCAGGTAAGGCAATTGTATATATACTGGGAATTAATTGCTTTGCTAAAACACATGTTTCTGCTATAGTACTCTGGAACAGGGAGCATCAGATATCATGGTGGAAAGCAGATGTCCCCACAGGGTGAGCATACTTTGGTGTTTTCAGCACATCCAAAGGGATCTACATGATTTGAAGCATAATACAGTAGTTCTCAATGTGGAATATTCATTTATTCAAATGTTTCATATTCATCTTAACCTCCTGTGTGATAGAAGTGGGGATTTTTGTCTCATTTCCATGAAACCAAAGGAAAAGAGACAGGCACACTAAAGTGGAGAGACAGTACTAAACAGACAACAGAGGGATGGTTTAAGTTGTAAATTTGTTAACAATAAGGAACAGATGGCAACTTTACATCAAACCTTGGTTCTGTTGCTCCATGAGCAACTCGAAAAATACATTAAAACTACACCTGCTTCAGCAAGGTGGAAACAATTAAAAGAAAGTTAGGTTAAAGAGAGGCTGACAGATTTGAAACATGGCTTTGTTTAAATTTTAGAATATGTCAGCTGGAAACAGGTTTGCCTCACACAGCTGGAGGCAACGTCTGTAATTTGTGCAGTTGAAGATGAAGTCAGTTTGGGTAAATCACAGCAGCTGTGAGAGACCCTGAAAGGGGACCCACACTCATTTTGAATGTGGTAGTTACCTCTTCAGAATCTCCTGTTGATAGACAAACAACAGAGAGTAGCATCGTCAGTTTGACACACTCTGTCTATCAGAAAATAACTTTTCTCTAAAGCAAGGCACCAGAACTAAGGAAGGGGGACTTATTTTGAAAGCAGTAATTTAGATCCATCTTCTGAACTTTGAACGACACCCAAAGACTAAATCTTTTTTTTCCTTTTGTTTTCCTTTTTCCCTCCACCATATCCCTGTTCATCAACCCTTCTTTTTATAATCTCTGATGAGCCCAGAAGGACAGGCTTTGATAATGATGATTGACCCAGCATGTGGGTTTCAAGCAGCCAAATACTCACAGATAATTCGTTCTCCCTTTCTCTGTTCATGATTAGATAGCTGGCACGTGGGGACTTGTATAGTGCCCAGAAATTTGATTGTGCAAAAGGGATTGGGGTGAGGTCAGGGACTGTAAAGACCTACGGTAATCACCACAGGGATAAGTGAATACTTCAGAGTAAATCAAACTGAGAGGACCACTCCTCTCCTTAACATGTCCATGCTGTGATTTGTAGCCTTTTTATGGGGTTTTAAGACACATCACAAGAGGCTGCTTGCTTCTTCCTCTTTCTCTGTCTTTGACTTTTTCCCCTCCTAACATGTGCCCAGGTGATTTCACTTAGCATTCATATTTTCAGCACTTCTCACCACACATATTCTTCTGCATGGGGGTATTGTATTCAAGTGTTAAGTCTGCCTATCTGTCCCTAGGAAGCATCTAAGAGCCAATTTCATGCAAGGATGATGAAGAAAAAAGTGGAGGGTTATTAGGAGGAAAGTAGAAAGGTAAGGTGTTACACCTCAGAGATCTTTGATAAGAAGGGAACAGGAATAACTGTGGGCAGTGTAAGACAGCGTTGAGGGCTTCTTGTAGCTTTGTGATAAGTAAACAAACCCACAACAAGGCAGAGGCATGTCTCTCAGATTAATACACACACACGCACAAAGAAAAAGGATTGACAGTCTTATTTGTGTTGAAGCTTACCCACGCAGAGCTACGGACTGGGTTGACATTTCGAATGTGTACATCAAAGCATGAAAGCACCGTGCCTGCCTAGATGACTGGTACACCCATTAGCCTCTTTACATACTGTATGTCAACATTCCCAGGAAGAGCCAGCAGAATAAAGGAAAACACTGCTGAATAAAGGGACAACACGACTTAAAAGAAAGGGTCCTTCAAAGTCGACAAATGAAAAAAAACATTGAACAAAAGAGATGCATAATAAAAGATTTTAAATGTTCAACCATGAAAAAGGTTTTGCTGTTGTTCTCCCTCCCCAAGTTATGGGATGTCTGCCTGGTATTCACTTAGCTGTCTTTTGCTTTGCTTTGATCCAGTCACAAGTGAAGAGCCCTGAATGAATGCTGGCATCCAAGATGTACTGAGCATGTATTATATGGAATGGTTACAGTCAGTACGTTTACATGCACTTAAAATGAAAAAAAAAAAAAAATATATATATATATATATATTTATATGTTGATGCCAAAGTCTGACTAAAATTGGGCTTTTACAAATCAGATAAACACTAAAATCGAATTTCTCACAGTTGAACTTACACACCTGTATATAGTTATAGGAGATTGATTTTCTCTGTATATTGCTCAATTGAGCTGAAACTGGCCCAATCATTC